CAGGCGTGTGCCACCACGCCCCGCAGGGACCTTTTAACAAGACTTTCAGACAGTGGGCTAGGTGGCAAGTGGCACTGCCCCCACCCCGGATATACGCCAGAGGAAGCAGCTGGACTCCTTCCCTCGGGGACCCCTTTGGTTTGGTCCTAGACCATTGCAAGCACTTCAGCCTTGTCTTAGTTACTCTCTCATTGCTGAGAGAAAACACCCGACACCTAAAGTTAAAGGAGGAAAGGTTTATTTAGCTCAGAGTCTATAGACGTTCCAGTCCATAGCGGCTGGCTCCAAGGCAGGGTGACATGGCAGAGGGCATTGAAGAGGAGAAACAGTCCATGGTGTGGCAGGCAGAAGGCAGCAACAACAAGCAAGCCAGGGCTGACCACAGCTCTTTCTGTTCCTTATTTCTTATCCAGGCTACTCAGGATTAAGGGCAGGGAACACTCACACCGTTCACCCTAGCGCCCTTAATCCTAGCACTGCACCATGAATCAATCCCAGCATCACACACCCCAGATCCAACCACTTCTGGAAAACCCCACCTATGAGCACATGAAGCTTTGGGGGGACATCTAGACACAGCCATGACATCTGGATAAGATAAAAGGGGCACAAAGATGCTAAGGCCCCTTGGTTGTTTTGCTACTTTCTGCCCACCATGTGCTGTGTCTCCTCTGTGATGCCCTCTGCCATACCACCCTGCCTTGGAGCCAGTGACTATGGACCAAAACCTCTACAGACTGAGCTAAATAAACCTTCCCTTCTTATATTGTGGTTGTCAGGTGTTCTGTCTCAGCTGTGAGAGAAATAACTAAGATGGGCCCTTGGCCTTGGGGGCCCGCAGCCCTCACAGGGTGGGTTTGGCCAAGTCACCAGATGCCTGGTCTTGCAGGCACAGCACGGTGGCCGAACAGGATCAGGCTCGCAAGCCCCCGCCTGGAAGTTTGCTGTGGCCTTTGTGCTGGCTTCCTTGTGTGGCTGGCACAAGGCCTGGTCCCCAGCCCGGAATGGCCATGGCGGCTGGTAGTGTAGACCTTTGTCTCCCCGTGGTCTCGGGCAGGCTTTTGATTTCTCCCTTCTCCTGCCCTGCTCATGCAACAAAGAGCAGGCTCTTTACTCCTTCGGGTGACAGTTACCTGCGGGTAACAATGTGACATTAGTTCTAGACCCTGGGTGGTGTGACAGGAAGAGGGGCAGGAAGTGACAAGCAAGTCCTGGGAGGAAAAGGGGCAAGGAGAGATGGAGGGGGGTGGCTATGCCAGAGGGACCGTGGACACTGGACACAGGCTGTCATTGAGACTGCTGGGAGGCCAGGGGGAGGGAGAGAAGGCATCCAGAGGACACTCCACTGTCACCCAGATCCACCTGCCCCACGGTCCCGTGCTGCCAGGCCCGGGATGTGCCACTGGCAGCAACTTGTCCTCTGCGTCGCGCGTGTGTGTACCGCCCCCGCTTTGCATTGGGCTGAGTGGGCCTCACCTTTCCCTGTTAAAAGGAGGGCCCTGTGCATCCCCACAGCGTTCAGCGCTTGACCAGAGCCCTGTCTGTGTTGGGTTTCAGTTCCCTGAGTGTCCCGGCGCCGACCCAGGACTGAATCCACGCCTGGCTCTTGTTTGATGGCTGTCTGCCCGATGTCACCTTTGGGGTGTCTTCTCTGTCCTGACACCAAGGGGGCGGGCAGTCTGTCCTCGTCCCCGGAAGCCTGGGGCCCATGTGGAATGGCAGGGTGGAACTTTCTCCACACTGTGCCATGTGTACCCGTGGCCTGCGGGGCTGGCCAGAGTCCGTGGGCCCCAGGCCTGGGCTGGGAAGCTTTTGCTTTGTTTTGTTTTGTTGGGACAGGGCCTCCCTATGTATTCCAGGCTGGCCTTCAACTCACTTTGTAGGCCAGGCTGGCTTTGAACTTGAGGCAGTCCTCCTGCCTCAGCCTCCCAAGTGCTGGGATCATAGGTGTGGACTACCATGCCTGGCTCATGTAGTCTTTTGTTTTGAGAGGCTGCAGCTGGTGCCGGTACCTTGTGACTGCTGGGCAAGCGTTTTGCCTCTGAGCTACACCCTAGCCTGGAGACACCTTTTCGAGTGAGGCGTGGTGTGCAGGGTGTGGGGGGGTCATGCCACGGCCGGCCCCGCCCCTAGCCCCAGCTTCCTTGCTCAGTGCCCCTGCTTCCCCATGGTGTCGTGGCCTGCCCCCTCCCCTTGTCACAGTCAGTTTCTGCCCCCCGGGACACCCTCTTTACCTCTTGGGACCCACGGAGACCTGAGAGGAAAGAGGGGAGGCTGAAGGCGCTCCAGGCTTCCAAAGCAGAGCTGCCTGTGTGCAGAGCTTACCCAGCCCAGCGGGCCTGCCGTCACCGTCATGTCACCAGCCATCTCTTGATGGTCCCTGATTCACGGTACCCAGCCCCCACCAGCCTGCTCTGCACTCTTCCAGGGCCTCTCTGGGTTTCCATAGCAACACCGCTGCTGGGTAACGATTTCAGGAAGAAAGGCATCCGTGTGATTCTGCCTCCCAGCGCGCCAGTGTCCCGAGTCCCACCATGTGGGTGCCCTGCCTGCCTGCCTGGGAGTGCGGGAGCCGCCTCTGCATGCAAGCGCAAGAACAGGCCACGTCTCTCTGCTGCCACCCAAGGTGGTGCGGCAAGGTGGCTCACCTGCCAGCGGGCTGTGGTGGCGCACACTTGGCATCCCGCCACGCTGCAGGATGAGGTGGGGGTATTGGGAGTTTGAGCCCAGCCTAGGTTATTTAGGGAGTTCGAGGCCAACCTAGGCTACATGGCGAGATCTATCTTTTGTTTAGTTTTGTAGCGCGCAGGGTCGAAGGCGGGGTCTCGAGTATGCTAGGGAAGGCTCTACCACTGAGCATATCCCTGCCTGGAGAGCCTGTCTCGCTTCCTGCGCATGGACGGAGGGCAGTCGTGTGCAGTAAAGTCATTGGAACGTGGTGAGGCTTCAGTGCTCATGGCCTTTGTTTTCAGTAGTGTCCTTTGCGTTCCGTTTCTACACTCGCCGTGTTGGCAATGGCTGTCTCTACCAGCGGGCTCCAGCTGCTGCTGTGAGGGCTTCGCACCACTTCTTGCGCCTCTGTCAAAGGCCGCCAGGGACAGTACCTCTGCTGGACATCCTGCACGGCCTCTCTCCAGCAGCCACACTAACCGCGGCTCCTTCGGCCCCAATGTTCTCCTACGCTTTCCCACTATACATGGCAGCACACCAGTCATCCCAGTACTCTGGGAGGCTGAGGCAGGAGGATTGCCGCAAGTTCAAAGCCAGCCTAGGCTACGTATCGAGACCCTGTCTCAAAAAAACCAAAGCAAAAGAAATGCACTTTTCAGAACATGAAAACTGGGGGAAGAAGGGAAAGAGAAAACAAATGATTACCTACAAGGCCATAATGAAATAGCAGAAAGGTAACTGTGGACACTGCTGCGGAGGCCAGGAGGGGACCGGGACCACCTGGCCCTGGGCTGTCGTGTTCAGCCACTAACACACAACTGTGCAGCGTGACTCCATGTTTCTACGAGGAGGGCAGGGAGGTGGTGTTGTGAGGACAGGTGACAGGAGGGACCTTGCAATGTGCAGTATTGGGATGAGCGCAACCCCAGCGTGGGGTCCTCCTGCTGACTCGGCCTTGGCGATGGGTACTTCCCGCCCTCTGCCCACCCACTTCCCTTAGGCAGTGATGTCTGTCCTTGTGCCCACTCCTGGGCATGGCCTTGTCAGGCCCAGAATGGCTCTTCCAGGCTGCTTCCCAGGGAACGCTGCATGACCCCCCACACTGCCACCTCCACTCAGGCCCTCCTGCTTGCCACTTGCGTGCCTGGCTTCTGGTGGCATTTGTGACCTGTCCCTTCTCTACTGGCCTGCAGCCCATGAAGGGCACTGCTCCCCACTTCCACCTGCCCCGGCCCCGCCCCTGTGCAGCCCTTCCTGGCTGTGGTCCGGATGTGGTCCCTTCTCCAGGCTGAGCCTCAGTTTCCACGTTTTCAGAATGGACGCAGGGTTGTTAGGACTCACAGTTCAGGAGGGACTGGCCTCTGGGGCCTCGCCCGAGCCTGGCCTGTGGCCGGTGCCTGAGAAACAGTGGTGAGTGGTAGCTAAAGCTGCCTCCTCGCGGTTCCACAAGGCAGACTTGCATGCTCTTTCTTTCTCTCTGCCCCCCCCCTGCTCTCCCTCCCTCTCTCTCCTCTTCCCCCATCTCCTCTCCCTCCCTCTCCTGTCTCCTCTCTCTCCCTCTCTCCTCCCTCCCTCTCTCCCCTCTCCTCTCCCCCTCTCTGTCTCTGTCTCTGTCTCTCATGCAGGGGATAGACTCAGGGCCTGTGCATGCAGGTGAGTGTGGTACCCCAGAGCTGCCCCCAGTCCTCATGAACATCCTTCTCAAGTGTGAAAGCCTTGGTCTTTTGAAGGTCGGTTGCCACGTGCAGACACAGACCAACTCGCTACGCAGTTGTTTTGTTTTTTCTTTTCTTTCTTTTCTTTTTTTTTTTTTTGAGACAGGCTCTTGCTAGGTAGTCCAGCTTGGCCTCGAACTCACTATGTAGCCCAGGCTGGCCTCGAACTTACAGAGATCCTCCTGCCTCAGCCTCCTGAGTGCTAGGATGTCAGGTGTGTGCCACCATGCACTGTACTGTGCAGCTTGTCACTCTTCTCCCTGCTGGCCCTCCTTCCCTCCATGTCCCGGTGCACAGCATCAGCTGAGACCAGCCCTGTTGTGAGGGATGTCAATCAAGCTCATCCCCCTGCCATGGCTCCTGGGCCTCAGCGCTGCCCAAAAGAGATGTAGACCCTTGTGGGAGGGGACAGCATGGCATGGGCAGCTCCTGCTGAAGGAAGCTCCTGCGCTCACAGTGCCGGGACACTGGGTCATCTGCCTGCGGCGGGGCCCAGCGAAGCCCAGAGCTCTGTCTGTGGTGGAACGGTCGGGTGTGGGCCGGCCGCCCAGACCCCCACCTCGGCCTCACCAGCAGGCGCCCCGAGGGCCCTCACCAGGCATGTCTCTGCCGCAGGTGAATGGGAAGGAGCTCTCCAAGCTGTCTCAGGAGCAGACGCTGGAGGCCCTTCGCACCTCCAAGGAGCCCCTGGTCATCCAGGTGCTAAGACGAAGCCCCCGCCTGCGGGGTGACAGCTCCTGCCATGACCTTCAGCTGGTGGACAGTGGCACTCAGACCGACATCACCTTTGAGCACATCATGGCGCTGGGCAAGCTGCGCCCGCCTACCCCGCCCACAGGCATCCTGGAGCCGTACGTCCTGTCTGAGCTGTGAGTTGCCCTCAGGAGGGCCCCAGGCCTGCTCCAGAGAGGATGTACCAGCGGCACTGACAGGGCTCTGGCCTGTGCCAGACCTGACTCAGCCTACCTGGCTTGGGCTCAGGCACCACCAGGCCTCCAGCCTTGGGCTCCTGCGGCTGGCTGGGGAACCTCGCTGCTCCTCCATCCTCTGCCACCCCACCCATGGCCTCTGCCTCCTCACGGGCCTCACCCCTGAATCTTGTCGTATCCCTGTCCCATTCCTCCACCTGCTCTGCGTCCCCTCCATCTCTTCAGCCTCTCTCGGCCCGCCTGGAGATAAGAGAGGGACAGAAGTCTGTCCTGTGCAGGCGGAGGGGTGCCTGTCTGTTCTGCACATGGCCTGGGCCTGGGTAACTCCTGGGGGCGCTGCATGCATGGGCTGGTGCTGGGAGTAGTGGAGCGCCCGGAGCTTTGGAGAAGTCAGTGCCCAGTGCAGGGATGGGTGGGGAGAGCTGGGCCTCGGCTTCTGGGGATGCACATGGCCCAGGAGCAGGGGCTTCTGGAGGAGGCACGGCGACCCACATCCCCCCACCAGAGCGCACACAGGGCAGGGCTGCACGCCAAGCACACTGGGACTGGCCAGCTGGGACTGGGTTCTGGGGTGCAGGGAGCAGCCAGCATGCCTGACACCCGCCTTCTCCTGGGCAGCACCCCCATCAGCCATGAGTATTATGACCCGGCAGAGTTTATGGAGGGCAGCCCACAGGAGGTAGACCGCATGGATGAGCTGGAGTACGAGGTGAGCTCGGCCTGGCTCCCGCTGCCCTTCCCAGATGCCCTTGCTCACGTGTCTGGCCAAGTCGGGGAGGGCGCGGGCGAGGTGTCGAGTCGCGTCTCTGTTGGTGAGTCTGTGTCCCTGCATGTCTGTGTCTCGTGCATTCCACGTGTCCGTATGTGCTGTGTGTCCCGTGTGCCTTGGGCACTTCCTGGTAGGGGAGTCCCCGAACATGCATCACCCGGGATGGTAAGAGAAGGGAGCCCTCAAGGCCAGGCACTGGACAATCAGCTCAGGTGACCGTAGGGCCTCGGGGGTCAGGGCCAGGCTGAGGCTGTGTGGCCAGCTACGGGCCTCCTCGCTCGTGCACACAGACGTTCTACCTCTGCTTCCTCCCACCCTCACGGCAGGAGGTGGAGCTTTATAAAAGCAGCCACCGAGACAAGCTGGGCCTGATGGTGTGCTACCGCACGGACGATGAGGAAGACCTGGGCATCTATGTTGGAGAGGTATGGGGGCCGCGGCAGGGCAAGGCCAGGGCAGCTGGCAGCTTCACTGTGTCCAGCAACCTGTACCCAAGTGCTGGTTCTCTCCCACATCCTGTGGCCAGTCCCTGGGAGGTAGCAGGGGCTGATGTCTGTGTATCGAAGGCGGGCACACAGCTCCCCAGAGCCTCTCTACTAGCAGTTTATTCTTTGCATTGTTTTGAGACAGGGTCTGTCCTCACATGGCTGGGATGACAGATGTATGCCACCATGCCTAGCTCTGTACTAGCAACATCCTAGTCGAGCTAACCTTTTGAATGGGAAATGGCCCACTGCCCATCCAGCCCCCCAGGCTGATGTTCTTGGCCCAGCCACTGGCGGAAAAGAGTAGGCTCCCACGCAAAGGAGCACGGGAGTGGTGGGGGAAGGGAGCGTTGGGGAAGGGGAAGGGCACAGGAGCGTCCCAGGCCCCAGCACCTCTGCCTGGCTTTCCGGAGCTGTAGTGGGAATCAGAGGGTATTTCCGGTTTGCTGGCCGGCCCCGAGATGAGGCTGCCCCTTCCCGCTGCACGGGCCACCTTAGGAGCCAGGTCCGAGATACATATGTGTTCTGCAGGTGAATCCCAACAGCATCGCAGCCAAAGACGGCCGGATCCGCGAGGGGGACCGAATCATTCAGGTGAGCCCCGCCCATCGGCCCGCCCCTAGCCACGCCCACCGAGGCCTGGCCTGCGGCTCAGCGGCCCCTAGTGGCTCTCGCGCTCCCGTGGGATTTGCCTCCCTTCCCTCCTGTCCTCTCCCAGGCCCCTTCCGCTTGTTCACACCTGCCTGGAGCTCAGGAGTCTGGCCCAGCCAGCACCCACCCCACAGGGCAACTGTAGCCCGTGTCCTTTGATTTTTCCCTGGCCTGTCCCAGATTAACGGCATGGACGTCCAGAACCGAGAAGAGGCAGTGGCCATCCTGAGCCAGGAGGAGAACACTAACATCTCCCTGCTGGTGGCGCGGCCCGAGAGCCAGGTGTGTGCGCTTGCCTGGCAGGGCAGCCTTGGGGCCCTAGCCTGGGGCTTTCTGCCTCGGAAGCTGCCGATCTACCGCAGACCTGGAGTAGGTGGGGAAGAGGACAGGGGGTTGCAGCCTCTGACAACCCAGTGGGCTGGGGTCCCCTCTCCTGGCTTGTTTCATGTCCCTGAGAGTGTGGTGGCCACGGAACCAGAGGGGCTACTTGGGGGAGGTCCTGGCAGTCACAGGGATGACTTGAACCTGTGTGTGCAGCCCGCAAAACGGTGGAAGGACAGTGACCGGGATGACTTCCTGGATGACTTTGGCTCTGAGAATGAGGGGGACCCATGTGCCCGGAAGCTGAAGTCACCCCCTGCCCAGCAGGTGAGGACATGAGGAAGGGGTGGGGCAGGCGGGATCTCGGTGTCCCACGACCCTCAGTGGCCCTCCCTCCCGTGACAGCCCCTGAGTGTGCCCATCTTTCCGCCCCAGCCTGGAAATGAAGAGGACAAGGGGGCCCCGGAAGCGGGCCCAGGCCTGAGCAACAGCCAGGAGCTGGACAGCGGGGTGGGCCGGACTGACGAGAGCACGCGCAATGAAGAGAGCTCAGAGCACGACCTGCTAGGGGACGAGCCCCCCAGCGCCACCAACACCCCCGGGACCCTGCGCAAGTTTGGCCTGCAAGGGGACTTGCACTTCAGCATGGACTCGCTGCTGGCAGAAGGTGCAGGGCTGGGTGCAGGAGACGTGCCCGGCCTCACTGACGAGGAGTACGAGCGCTACCGGGAGCTGCTGGAGATCAAGTGCCACCTGGAAAATGGCAACCAGCTGGGCCTGCTCTTCTCAAGGGCCTCGGCGGGCAACAGTGCCCTGGATGTCAACCGCAACGAGAGCCTGGGCCATGAGATGGCCATGCTGGAGGAGGAGCTGAGGCACCTGGAGTTCAAGTGCCGCAACATCCTGCGCGCACAGAAGATGCAGCAGCTGCGGGAGCGGTGCATGAAGGCCTGGCTGCTGGAGGAGGAGAGCCTGTACGACCTGGCGGCCGGCGAGCCCAAGAAGCACGAGCTGTCCGACATCTCTGAGCTGCCTGAGAAGTCTGACAAGGACAGTACCAGCGCCTACAACACGGGGGAGAGCTGCCGCAGCACCCCGCTGCTCGTGGAGCCCCTGCCTGAGAGCCCACTGAAGCGGGCTGTCACTGCTGCCGCCAGCAACTCCAATTTGAACCGGACCCTCCCTGGTCCTCCCATCACCAGCGCCCCCAAGGTGACCCCCGCACCAGGGAGCCCTGCCAAGTTCCGGTCCCTCTCCCGGGAACCCGAGGCGGGCCGGAGGCAGCACGCGGAGGAGCGTGTCCGCCGGGGCCCCAAGACTGGGGTGGCCCTGGAGCGGATGGGCCCTGAAGGCAGTCCTTACCTGTCGAGACGCCACCGCGGCCAGGGCCAGGAGAGCGAGCACTACCACAGTTGCGTGCAGCTGGCCCCACCACGCACCCTGGAGGAGCTGAGCCATGGTGCCTTGGGCCTGGCTGGCGGCTCCCAGGTGGGCAGCGTGGCAGCTGGGGCCGAGGCACCCCGTATGGAGTGGAAGGTGAAGGTGCGCAGCGATGGCACTCGCTACGTGGCCAAGAGGCCTGTGCGCGACCGGCTGCTGAAGGCCCGGGCCCTGAAGATCCGGGAGGAGCGCAGCGGCATGACCACGGATGACGACGCAGTGAGCGAGATGAAGATGGGCCGCTACTGGAGCAAGGAGGAGCGCAAGCAGCACCTGATACGCGCGCGCGAGCAGCGGAAGCGCCGTGAGTTCATGATGCAGAGCCGGCTTGAGTGCCTGAGGGAGCAGCAGAGTGGCGATAGCAAGCCCGAGCTCAACATCATCGCACTGAGCCACCGCAAGACCATGAAGAAGCGGAACAAGAAGATCCTGGACAACTGGATCACCATCCAGGAGATGCTGGCCCACGGCGCGCGCTCAGCAGACGGCAAGCGGGTCTACAACCCCCTGCTGTCTGTCACCACTGTCTGAGCCGCCCAGGCAGCCCTCAGCTTCCCTTGGAGTCTGATGTGTGTGTGCACCGCGTTCCCGCACCTCCTGCCTGTCCTTGTGCGCACGGGGAAGAGAGGGGATGCTCCTTTCGCATGGCCTACTTCCTTCTCCCCAAGTAACCGGCCGGGTCGACAGCCAGCCTTGAGCTCCGCTGTGCGTGTGTCCCCATGCTGGAGGCAGGGAAGCCGGTGCGAGGTGACAAGGACTAAGCACAAGACAGCATCCAGCTTCGTGCTCCCTGGAGCTGCAGTGATTCGTAGAACAAAGGCACCCCGGTTTTTGTGGTTTTTTTCCCTTTCTGTGCTTGCTGATAGTTGTTTTTCTGTATCGTGGCTCTGCCGTGGGCGGGCAGCTTGGCCGAGGGGCAGAGGTGGAGCCCTGTGTGCCGGCTGGGAAGGAGTTGGGGGGGAGCGGAGGGAGGGTGGGGGGAGGGGGGCGGGAGGAACGGGAAGCAGCTCCCGGCGCCTGGCAATGACAGGCCGAATGGGGAGCCTGGATTCAGCTTGCTCAAGGCTCACTCCTGGGGGCCGCCCCCTTCCCCAGTGACCAAAGGAAAGCGAGACTGTGGGGACAGAGGGACAGTGTCCATCCGAGAAGTCACTGCCCCTGGGTCTGTGCCGTGCCGTCTGGGGCTGGGCCACTTAGATGTCAGGCGGGGTGAGAGGCCAAGCCCCGTCAGCAACACGGAAAAACCTCAGACCCCTCAGCCTGGAGAGGACTCGGTGAGAGGCAGGTGGGCTGGGCGGGAGGGAGAAGCCCCAGCCTCTTCCGCGTGTTGCAGTATGCAACCATGCTGCCTGTGCGCTGCCCTGTGCTTGGAGGCAGACGGCTGCCACACCCCTGCCCCACCTGCATCTTGAGAATAAAGCAAGCTGCCTTTTTACTAACTGAATCACAGCCTCCGTGTTCATTCTCGCCATGCTGCCATGCCGCAAGAGCTGTTGCTGCATGAATTCCTAAATGTCGCTGGATGTGGTGGTGCGCACACCTGTCAGGCCAGCACTAGGGAGGCTGAGGCAGGAGGATCACTGTGAGTTTGAGGCCAGCCTGGACTCCACAGTGAGTTTAAGGCCAGGCTGAACTACATAGTGAGATTGTCTCAAAAAATAAAACCCTTAACCAACCAAACACCCAAAAGAACTGCTAACTGCTGAGTTCCAAGCAGGAGGAAGTTGAGCCCGCTGCCGGGAAGGTCAGGTCACAAGGGTGCAGTGCTGCCTGTCATCTGGCAGTCGTGCCCGGGACACTCAGCCCACATGGATTCCAGCAGAGACCAGTGCCAGCTGCCCAGAGCTGGAGTCCCTTGGCTGGCTCAGAAGAGGCAGTGCCAGGAGGGCTGGCTATAGCACTAGGCACCATGACCTGCAACAGCCATCGCCATCAGGCCAGGGGTGGAGCCAGCACCAGGGAGCAGTGGGTGGCAACGGCTGCCAATGCCCCTGCCCCAGCTGCTGCTGGCACAGGGTGCTTGCTGCTCGCTCCTCAGCGGCCAGGGGAGCAGCTGCACGCCCCCTCCTGGCTAGTTCCTCTGCTGGCACATCCTGGTGGGGTCCCCATCTCAGCCAGCTCCCCCAATGCTCCTTCCTCTAGGAGCATGTGCTCAGGTGGTCCTGAGGCCCTCTCCCCGACACCCTGGAGCGAGCAGTGTTTCATCACAGCCATAGCTGGAAGAGTTTACTTGGGACTTGCACCAGCCTCATGGACCCCAAGGTCCTCAGTATCCCATGGGTTGCCCATGGCATCAAGTGGCCGGTGCCTGGCACATGCCAGGTGTGCTCACTCTGCTGGTGGCAGTCACCCGTGACACAGGAGTCCCTAGGAGGAAACAGGGCTCTCAGGTGAGGGTGATTATTTCCCAAGCATCCCGTGCCGAGCCTGATTTGGGGCATTAGGGTGTACAGGTCGTGGCACAGGTAGCAGCCGGTGCTGCTGCTCAGCAGGCACAGCGCTTCTGTGAGGCTCATGCCCCGGCTCTGAAGCTGGGTGCCTTGTAAGAATGAGGCTGCTCTGCCTCTGTGAGTCACCAGCAGCACTGCCTGCCAGCCAAGGTAGGTGCCACCCCAAGAGCATGTGTGGCAGGGCAGCCTGCCCCACTGCCTGCCAGCCCAGGCGGGCCCACGAGGCCACAGGACCCAGCTGGAACAGGATGCCACGAGGACAACCAGCCCTGCTTGGGGTCCCACCGAGGGCAGGAGGACGTGTGCTGGGACAGAGGGGACAGCAGCCAGAGCAGACACAGAGGTGGTGGGCACGGGGTGAGGTGGGGCCCACAAAGTGCTCCTCCACCCAGGTGGATGAGGCTGCACTGCCTCCCAGAATCTCCTTTTCTGCTTCCACTTCCACGAGAGGAGGGCACTCATGATGGACAGACACTGTTTATTGAAAGAAGCAAGGGAGGCCTGGGCCCCCGTCAGGCCTGGATGTGGCTCTTGGCGCTGAAGGCCAGGTAGTAGATGATGAGGCCAATTACTGCAGCCAGCACCTCCGTAGAGACCCAGGGCCCATTCCAGGTGCCCTGCAAGGAAAGGGACCGAAAACTGCCTCAGAGGCAAGCATCAGCCTGTCACCTACCCTCAGGGGTATGGAGACATGCTGGCCAAGCTGAGTGAGATGGCACACGCCTGAAATCCTAGCACCCTGGGAGGCCAAGGCAGGAGGATCACAAGTTCAAGGCCAGTCTGGGCCACCTAGCAAGACCTTGTCTCCAAATTAAAAAAACAAAACAAAAAGACTGGGGACATAGCGCAGGGCAACAGCCCTGGGTTTGATCCCCAGTGCCACAAAACAAAGCTGGTAGAGCTGTGGCTACAACAAAAGCCTGATTCTTGGTCCATCTCCACCAGGCCAGGCCACTCACCCGATGGTCCACACTGACTGTGAAGAGTGGCGGGATGATGGAGATGTCCTCATTGTTTCTCTGTGCCTGCACGGGAGGAGCCAGGTCAGGGGTGCTAGGGAGCATGGGAGGCAGGGACACTGGCAGGGGCAGCAGAAGCGGAACATGCCCTCTCTCCTGGGACTCAGCCCATACTCGCCTTCCTCAGGAGGCTGTAGGACTCCTCATCGAAGAATCTGACCTCATAGGTGCCTGCGTGCGCGTTCTTGTGGTCCAGGCTCCAGGACACCTGGGTGGATACAGTGGACATGTGACGTAGACCCCCAGGACCTGGCCCACGTCCCCAAGCCCAAGCCCTGCTCCAGGGCCCATTCATGGCAGGCAGCTTGTCCCCAACCCTGGACTTGGCCTCCCTTACCTGGTATCGGCCCACATCCTGGCCCCGAGTGACAGGGAACTGCTTTCCACTGACGTCGGCATAAAGAGCCATGTTCTGCTGCGAGGACAAAGGGCAAGTCACTGCTGCCCCCCTCAACTGCAGGGAAAGGCTCCACCCTGCTGCCTGCAGCAGGCTCGGACTACAGGCTGTCTAGCAGGGGCCCCTTGCAAGCCTGTTAACTGTGCACAGGGGTGGCTGGATGGAAATGTCCCCCTCATGCCTGGAGCCTGTAAGCAAGGACCTGAGGTCACAGGTGCCACACAAGCTGCCCAAGGGGTGTTTAACCCAAGGAATGTAGGGCCCAATAGAGGCCCAACTTCCTTCTTTGGACTTCAGGGGCCAGGGATATAGCTCAGCGGCACAAGCACCTGCCTGGCAAGCATGAGGTTGTGAGTTTGATTCCCAGTACCAAGAAAGAAAAACAAAATGGACTTCAGGGAGGCCTGAGACCAAGATCATCATTTTTGAGACAGGGTCTTGCTCATGTAGTCCAGGCTGGCCTTGAACTCACTACGGAGCCCAGGATGGCGTCAAACTCACAATGATCCTCCTGCTTCAGCCTCCCAAGGGCTAAGATTATAGGCGTGCACCACCATGCCTGGTTCCAGGATCCTCAACCTTGATTTTATCTTTGAAACAGAGTCTTGGTACATAGCCAGGCTGGCGTCACACTCCTGACCCTCCCGAGTGCTGGGATGACAGGTGTGTCACAGTGCCTGGCTAGGGCTTCTCAATCTGGAACTTACGTACACACCAACAAATACTCCCACAAACAACAACCAAAAAAAGGGATGGAGGGACTTGGGGGGCTGAGTGTGGCCCTTTCAGTTCCAGACAGTCATTCGGCAAACAGTGGGGTGTCCACCCAGTATTACTGTACGCAGGCACACCATGCCAAGGTCAGGAAGGAAAATGCTTGTGAAGCTGGGCGTGGTGGCACACGCCTGTCATCCTGGCACTCCAGAGGCTGAGGCAGGAAAACTGCCACGAGTTTGAGGCCAGCCTGGGCTACATAACAAGACCCTGTTTCAAAAAACCAAAACACAAATTAAAAATAAGAAAACGCTAGTAAGGTACTTGCTAGGATCTGCTCTCGCCCACATGCCCGAATTGGAATCCCATTCTCCCTGTCGCCAGTCCTTGGGGTACTGTCGACTGCCAACGAGCAGCACTGCCCTGTCCCCCCACCCCTCCCTGGGCCCACCTGAACCCTGTTCTTGCACATCAGCGAGATCTCCACGATGAAGACGGTTTCAGTAGAAATGACGGCGTCTGAAGTAGTGTAGTAGGAGGGGGTGATCTGGGGCTCCATGCAGGCCTCTGCTGTGGGAGGAGGCGGCACTTGTGTGTGCTGAGCCCAGACCTGGTCAGCGGAGGACATGGGGGGTCCTTCTGCCCTGCCAGGGGAGCTCTGAGGCCCAATCCCAGGGTGCAGAGGATGGTGGAAAGGGGGGTAATGGCCACAAAGGGGGTGAAGAAAGAACACTGAAGGCGCTGCAGAGGCGGAGCTCAACATAAGGTCGAGGGAGGAAGTGGGTGTGTTGGGGTATGCATACGTGTGCGTCCCTAGCCTTGTGATATAGAGGCCATCCACCTTCATCCACAGCCATGCAACGCCCAAGCGGATCACTGAGGACATCTTTGGCAGAGACACCAACGGGGGTGCTGGCAGCCCCAGGGCCTCTCAAGATGGGGAGAAGGCTTTGTCCCCAGCCAGCTGACAGGAGAGCAGGCCTGGCCCCAGGAGAGGGAGGGCTTTGGGTCTGGGCGGAGGGGGACAGGGCTGGCAAGGGTGGCAGGGCCTGGCTCTCAGAGGCCAGATGCCACAGGCCCTTCTGGGCCCTGTCAAGCTGGCCTTTGTCCTGTGGAGAGTTTGTCCATTCAGGACACCTCTGGCTCCAGCCTGCAGAATTCTTGAGGGGCAGGTGGGAAGGGCCTAACAGCAAGTGCCCAGGAAAGTGTGCATGCAGCAGTCAGCCTCTGCCCAGCCCAGGCCCGAGCCCTGACACAGCTGGGTGCCCAGCCCAGGCCCGAGCCCTGACACAGCTGGGTGACCATCCACACAACGCCTGGACTCCAGGCCGACCTGGATGCCACCACCAGGTGTTAAGCATCCCTGGTAAATGCAGATCAGGGATCCCGCGGCTCAGCTCTGCTGAGAGCTCTGGACGGATGTGCCAAAGCCTCAGGGAAAATCAAGCCTCTGGCCCAGCACTCAAGGCCCCTGCTCACCAGCCAGCTTCCTATCTAAGTCGCCCCCTGTCCCTGCGCTCTGGCCTTCTGCCTGGACGAGCTGCTCGGCGTCACTTAGCTCTCACTTCTCCGGGGAGCCCTGGCCTGCACCGCACCCACCACTCTGCCAGCTCCCGGCCGCCAGCCCTGTTTCTCATCGCCACTGCTCGGCGACAGTCCCTCCGAGAAGTCACCTTCCCTGCTGGAGGTGATGGCAACGAACACAGTGTAGAGGAGGAAAAGGTGTAGGTGTCGCTTCCAGCAGCCTGCCTGCCGGGTCGCCGTGTGTGGTGCTTTGGTGGCCGCCTCTCCGAAGAAGGCCCGGACTCCCGCTTGGCCCACACCCTCTCCTCCCCCGGTACCACTGCCGTGGGGCTGAGGCTCGCCTGCAACAAGCTCCCACCGGGCTGCTACCTGAGCAGCAAGACAGGCCGCACAGCAGGAGCAGCGCCAGGACGCCGAGAGATGCCGCGGTCGCCATCGCCTCTTCTCTGCCCAGCGGAAAAGAGAGCGCGCTGCCCGGAACACGCGCGGCAGACGAGGAAGCGCGACGCGAAACTGCCGCTGCGGCCAATCGCACGCCGGCGGGCCAGGTCGGGACTCGTGACGTCACCAGCGACACTGACGTGTCCCCTCCTGGAGCCGGACGCCCAGCCTGCCGCCTCCCCCAAGATGGCGAGCGCAGGGGCAGCAGCGCTCTGGCACCGGAAGGGGGCGTGGGAACCGGCCGGCCGCGCGCATGCGCAGTGCGGGGCCGGGAAGGGGGTGGACCCCGGAATTTCTCGCCCAGTCGACTCTCGCGAGAACAGTGTACACACCCTCGGCGGCTCTCTCTGCCATGGCGCTGAAGGTGACGACGGCCGCCGCCGGCGCTGCGAAGGCCGTGCTCAGGCCAGCCCTCCTCTGCCGTCCTTGGGAGGTGAGTGGTGGGCGGGCCACGGGAGAGCCACAGAGCTTGTTAGGGGGCCTCGCACCCCGTGGGGCCGGGACGGTGCAGCGGCTCTGAGCGGCCTGGTGTTGGATTGGCTGCGGGACTCGGGAGGGGCGGGCAGAGGCCCGCGCGCGTAGCTCATTGGCCGCTTCCTCTGTCAGTGAGCGCATTGGCCGAAGTTGGCGCTGATCTGGAGGCAAGGGTCTCTGTCTGGTGGCGGGGGCTGAGGACAGGGTGGGAGGCTGCGCCGCAGCTGCTGAGTGTCACCTCCTTCGCGTCCTTGTGGGTGCTCTCTCGAGGCCGTCACGTGTGCTGGCCCGCCTTGAATACCCTATTGCAGGACTGCGTTCCTCTTCGGGTTTCTTTGTGGTGATAGACCACTTTGCCACCTGTCCCTCTGGAAGTGGAGAATCCGTTTTTTCCAGTCATCCCGATCACTTCTCATTCTTAGATCCCCGGATTCCCCCTCCCCGAGCACCCAGGGTGGGCAGGAGCTGATGGGCCCTGGAGGCTGTGGGGACTTGCTTCCTTGGTTCTCAATGTAGAATCCTGATTATTCGCGTCCAATTCTTCTTACTCATGTTTAGGACGAGGGCCAGTCCCTTCCTCTCTCCGGGTTCCCTTTCCTGTCTATCCAACCAGAGGGATGGGGACTTCTCAAAGGATCCTGCCAATTCTGACCTTCCAGAACTCCATGATTTTGTTGATGCTCCCTGGGGACCTTTCTACTCCTGGGTGTAACTGCTCTGTCCTCTGGGGAAGACTATGCTTTCTGCAGTTTTCTCTAAAATGCTGTCCTCGGGCTGGGGATTTAGCTCGTTGGTGCAGCACCTGCCTGGCAAGTGCGAGGTCCTGAGTTTGATTCCCGGTATAATATAAATAAAATAAAATAAAATAAAATAAAATGCTGGCCTCAAACCAGGTGTGGTGGCGCACGCCTGTAATCCCAACACTTGGGAGGCTGAGGCAGGAGGATCACTGCCAGTTCAAGGCCAGCCTGGACTACATAGTGAGTTCAAGGCCAGCTTGGACTACATAGCGAGACCCTGTCTTAAAAAAACCAAACCAGAACAAAACAAAACAAAAAACCCCAACTTTCTGGCTTCTCCCCCATTGCTTGTGAGCCGGCACATCACATACTGTAGAGAATCTCTAGGTGCCCTGGAGGCTCCCACAGCTAGGCTTCTGCAGGCTCTGGAGGACATCTGTCAACCCCTGCAACTTCCCACACCCCCTGTGTGTGTACATGCCTGTGTGCTTGCTTGTTGGGGTAGGGGTTGGGGCAGAGAAAGGTTGGTGGCCAGGCAGGGTGTTGCCCTGAGCCTGGCTGTCCTGGGTATGGAAACCCTTCTAAAAGAACACCAGATCTTGGGTCTTACTTGTTGGGACCTCCTAGGGAAGCGCGTGATGCAGCAGAAACCTTAGTTAGAAGTTTCAGTAGAGTGTGGAGTATCCAGCTCTCTAGCAGGAGTGTGTGCCACCCTGGACCCATGGCTTTCTGGGGAATTGCTGAAGAATGACAGACATGCAGGATGCCTGTGTGTACGCCAGCCTGCTGTACACAGGGCATCTTTGCTCATAGCATCCTGTGGGTGTCAAAGCCTTTGTAATCTGTACACCAAAGTCGGGGAGATCTCTGTCTAGGGAGCTCTTGGCACTTTGGTGAGAGCCCCATGGAGCATCTAGCCCAGAAAGCAGATGCAGGAGAAGTTTATCCCTGGTGGTGATAGTGCCAGCTGTGGCCAGGGGTGCTCAGCCCTGAGCCTAGCCAAGGGCAGGCCCTCAGGAGGCTGGCTCAGTGGCACAGCTGAAGCCCGATGGGAATGAACTGCCAGGAACGGCAGGTTCAGCCCTGCATCCCCCAAGGACACCAGTCTTGAACTCTGACCTGCGGCACTGGGAGGGTGGAGGTGCCCTGCTGGGGCCTGTGACCAGCTCCCATGCCGCCTCCTATCCCATTGCAGTAGGTGCTTCTCTCACATGGCTTTCAGATGAGGACATGAAGCTGTCTTGAGAGTAGCGGATGGTGGAGTTGGACCACTCCCTGGTCTCCACCTGTTTCTTCATTTTCAGGTGTATTTGTGCACTCAGGCAGCATCCCCTGCGTCTCAGTGCTGGGCCAGACACTGTGCTGGGTCTTGGAGTGATGGGGCTGGGCGGGAGGCAAGATAGTGCTAGCCTTGGGAGGCGCCCTGGGCTGGGAAGGTGGCACTGCCTCCTGGAGGAAGGGCTATCCAGGCCACCTTCTGCAAGCTCCTGTGGCAAGCCTAGGGGTGCCCGAACCCGGCCATCGGCAAGTGCTGGCTGCAAACCCAGGTGGCGCATGGGACAGTGAGGTGCCCTTGGGGCTCTGGCCCTGTGACCACCCCTCTGCCCCTAGCTCTTGGGTACACTCCACCCAAACCTGCCAACCTCAGTCTCTCCTCCTGCCCAGAGCTAGGCCAGCCCTTGGCAACTTGACTTGCGGGCCAGATGACCAATGTGGCATTTGGGTTTCCTCTGCCAGGTGCTAGGTGCCCATGAGGCCCCCCGGAGGCACATCTCCTCGGTGAGTACCTGCCTGGGGCATGCGGGGCCGTCGGGTATATAGGAGTCTGTGTGCATGCCCACCCATGCTTCTTCACCCTGGCCCTCGTGTCCTCAGAGGCAGTGCCTGAGGTGACTCCTGCCTCCCCCTTCCCTGAGTTGTGCTAGACGGTGTCTCCGTCTCTGTCCCCAGGAAGCAGGCCCGGCCCTCCAGTCACAGCCTTGCTCCTCTGACCTTGTCTGACATGTGTGTTCTTTCTTTCTGTCCTCTCTAGCAACAAACCATTGTGAGTATTCTCCTTTTCCTCTGTGTGGGCTGTAGGGGCTTCACAGTTGCTTTGGGGTTGACCCACGTCCACTTGGGTGTAGGAGCTGCTGCTGCGCAGGTAGCCTGAGACAAACAGCCCTCTCTGGGATGGGCGTGCCCAAGTTGGCACCTCCAGATCGGCTGGCTTGTGGGATCAGTGATGGTGGGAAGAGGGGCGCTGGCTCGAGGCCCTAGGTGCTGAGCTGGGGAGCGTGGGAGGCACCTAGAGCCTCGTCCCCACCCTCTCCTTCCTTGCAGCCTCCGTCGGCTAAGTACGGTGGGCGGCACACAGTGACCATGATCCCTGGGGACGGCATCGGGCCAGAGCTCATGCTGCATGTGAAATCTGTGTTCAGGTATGAGACCTTGGCTCCCCTGGAGGCGGGTGTGCCCTGGACACAGCCAGCGGGCCCTGGTAATTTTAGCGAGAGGGCCTTTGCCTAAGAACTTGGTGTGGCAGTGGCAGGAAGCCCTGGAAACCTGGGCCTCTGATCTTGCCAGGCTACCCTGGTTATGGGGAAGGTGGTGCCTGTCCTGCTAAGAGCATGCACTGCAGGGGTGAAACATGTCCTCATCTGTTGGCATGGTGGGCTCAGTCCCCTTCCAGCCACGGCTGGGTTGAAGTAAATAGCCACAGGGGCGAGGCCTTTGTCCATGGCAGCCTGGGCATGCTTCCTGGAGGAAGAGGCTTGTGAGACCCCTCGCTGGCCTCCCTGACCTGGCTCTGCCCCAGGCACGCGTGTGTGCCAGTGGATTTTGAAGAGGTGCACGTGAGCTCTGACACTGATGAGGAGGACATCCGCAACGCCATCATGGCCATCCGTCGGAACCGCGTGGCTCTGAAGGGTGAGGCTCGCTGGCTCCGGGGCTCTGGGTGGGAGCCTGGGAGCGCCTGTGGGCACTGAAACTCAGGCTCCGCGGCAGTGGCTGTAGCCAGCTGTGGGAACTCCCTCCCACCTCCTCCTTCCCCCTGTGGCACTCACCCTGCTGGGGTCTTCTGTACAAAGCAGGGTCCCCGAGAAGCAGTTTTGTGGCCCCTGCCCATTGGCCCTTCTTGACCTCCACGTTTCTGCAAGTTCAGCCCGCGGTGCTCTGTGTGGGGGTACTCTGTGTGAGGGCTGTGAGCAGGAGAGCCCAAACCTGGCGATGAGTGGGGGCACTGACGCGCCGGCTGTGGGGTGCCCAGGCAGGAGCAGCTCTGAGGGGCGGGTGGTCTTGGTGGGCTTCCAGAAAGGCCTTTCTGCTTGGCGCCCTCTGACCTCCTTTCCCTGGCTGCTGCAGCAGCCTGGCCTCCTAGGCCCTTCCTTCCCTTCCTCTGGGGGCCGAGCTGTGGCCTCTCCCAGGTGCTCCTGCCTGCCCTTGTGTAGGCCCATGGGCACCTCAGTTTGGGGCCTTGGCAGTAACCCAGTCCGGGGTCACCTTGTGGGTGCTGGCCTGGCCAGCCAGGCTATTGGCAGAAGCAATGATCGCTTTCTGTTGAGCCGTTCTCGGGGTGAGGAATGGCAGGGGTCCTGCCAGCTGCCACCATTTTTGTTCTTCAGTTGTTCATTCATTTGGTAAATACCTAGCAGGTGCCTGCCACGGGCTGGGTGCCCCCCGCCCCCCCCCCCATCACTGCGAGCTTGCATTGGTGTCCCATGGGGCATTTGGCTACAGGAAGCCATCTCTTCCAGTGGCCGCAGCCTTTAGCATACATGTCCTACACCAGGAAGGAGACAGTGGTGCGGCAGAGTTTGAGGGCCTCTCTAGCCTGCCTGTCTTGTTTTGGTTCTGCAGGCAACATTGAAACAAACCATAACCTTCCACCATCCCATAAATCCCGGAACAACATCCTCCGGTGAGAACCTTGCGTGTGAGGAGGTGGCCCTCGAGGCCCAGGGTGGGCTGTGCTGGTGACCGTGGCCTTGACCAGCTACCAGTCGAGTCTATCCTGCTTCTTCCTCTGTCTTTCTCCCAGCACCAGCCTGGACCTCTACGCCAATGTCATCCACTGCAAGAGCCTGCCCGGAGTGGTGACCCGGCATAAGGACATAGACATCCTCATCGTGCGGGAGAACACAGAGGGCGAGTACAGCAGCCTTGAGCACGAGGTGGGCACAACGGGGCCTGCTGGGGTCCTGGGGAGCGGGAAGTGAGCCCAGCCGTGATCAGCCCTGGGGACAGATCTTGAGGAAGCCAGGAAGAGGTTGGCTCTTTGAGAGGGCTGTGCCCAAGGGAGGGGCCAAGAGTCCTTGCATGGGGGCCGCACCTCACCGCACCCCCTCTGCTGCTCGGCAGAGCGTGGCAGGAGTGGTGGAGAGCCTGAAGATCATCACCAAGGCCAAGTCCCTGCGCATCGCTGAATATGCCTTCAAGCTGGCCCAGGAGAGCGGGCGCAAGAAGGTGACAGCTGTGCACAAGGCCAACATCATGTACGTCCGCATCCCCCACCACCCTGCGCGTGCCCCAAAGCGCCTGGAGTGGCCCGCTTGGTCTTCTCTTGGAGTTGGGACTGGGGACACTGGCCATCCATCAAGTGGCATGCCCAGGGAGGTCTGTGGCTGTACCACCATCCGCGCTTTGGAGAGGAGGAATGGGGCTGTGCTGGTTTGTTGATGGGGGGGTTAGAAGTTGGTCCCCAGCCTTTTGCTGACCAAGGTGACCAGCCAAGCTGGTGTCCTCTGTCTCCCTTTCCTCCCCCTAGGAAGCTGGGCGATGGTCTCTTCCTCCAGTGCTGCAGGGAAGTGGCTGCCCGCTACCCCCAAATTACCTTTGAGAACATGATTGTGGACAACACCACCATGCAGGTAGTCACCCACCCGGCTCCAAGACCTCCTGCCCTGGGTGCCTACACGTCTCGTACTGAGCCCTCCTCACTTACAGCTCGTGTCCCGGCCCCAGCAGTTTGATGTCATGGTGATGCCCAACCTCTACGGCAACATTGTCAACAACGTCTGTGCAGGGCTGGTTGGGGGCCCGGGCCTTGTGGCTGGGGCCAACTACGGCCATGTGTATGCCGTGTTTGAGACGGTGAGTGTATGGGTGCAGCCAGCATCCTGCGCTTGAGTGGCTTGTGGGCCTGCTACTTGGGTCCCGTCTCTCCCCGTGCAGCCCTGGACCCATGAGCCACCAATCTTCCCCTTGCTGTCCCTGGCTCCCTGCTGTTCTCTGTCAGGGATAGCGCCTCTGCTGGACACGTCCTACCCACCCTGTTGCATCCTGCTTTTCCCAGGCCACGAGGAACACAGGCAAGAGTATCGCCAACAAGAACATTGCCAACCCCACGGCGACGCTGCTCGCCAGCTGCATGATGCTGGACCACCTCAAGTAAGTGGTGCCTGGTGCTTGGCGCTGAGCCCCCGCCAGCTCCTTGGGCCTGAGCGCCAATGCCACTCTCCTCCTCTAGGCTGCACTCCTATGCCACCTCCATCCGCAAAGCTGTCCTGGCGTCCATGGACAATGAAAATGTAAGGTTATTCCTGCTCCTCACACTGGCCCCTAGTTTGCGTTGGGCAAGTATGAGCCACCCGAGGGGCTGGGCGGAGGGAGTTACCACTGCCCTCTTAGTGTCAGTTCCAGGTCCTGCCACCTACAGGCGGGATGGTGGGCAGCTGGGGCTGCGCAAGGGTGGGAAGGTGTCAGTAGGCCTGATGTGCCCACACTTCCGGTCTCCTACAGATGCACACCCCAGACATTGGGGGCCAGGGCACCACATCCCAGGCCATCCAAGATATCATCCGCCACATCCGCATCATCAACGGCCGGGCTGTGGAGGCTTAGGTCCTCTCCCAAGATGGCCTTGGCCATTCCTGCGCCCCTGCGCCCAGCACTGCAGCCGGCTTGGTGGCCAGACCCCAGAATAAAGTGGCTTCCGTCTGGCCCTACTCCCAGAACCCAGTGTTCAGTGCACACTTTATTAAGAAACACGCACGCCTGCCATTGCTGTGGCTGAGGAAGCTGCCCCAGGCGGGGAGGGCACCGTGCCCACAGGCAGGGCAGTGGGACTAGGGGTTGAGCCATGGGTGCTGCAGGCAGTCGGAAGCGCTGGCGCGCTTCTCAGGAAGGTACTCCATCATGGGCAGCAGGAAGGCGCTGAACTGCGTGGCCTGCTCCAGCGGCCACTCGTACTTCTCCATGAGCACCTCGTATAGGCCCCAGTGCTTGAGGTTGTGGATGTGCCGCAGCTCTCCTGCAGGTCGGTGACCGGGTGGTGTTGGCCTATGGCCCCAGGCCCTGGCCACCTGCGTCAGCCTGTCCCGTCTTCCCGCGCACCCACGCACCCCACCTCTCCTATTGAAGAACTCCCGGGAATAGCGTCCAGAGAGGGCGAAGGCAGGGGGGATATCACCCAGGAGCTCCACGATGTGCGCAATGTGGTCTGTGCCGCAGAGGGAGCGGGTATGTGAGTCGTTGGGCATCGGGTAGGTGCTCCCGGCCCCGGCCCTGGCCCACCTCCCTACCCTCGTCACGGCTGTAGTCTTCTCCAGAGTGGGGCTCAAACAGGTAGTCACCAGTGGCCAGCTCGAAGGCCTGTGAGAAGAGAGGTGACGTTGCAGCTGGCATGAGGTGGCCTGGTTCTGGGGCATCTTGGTGCCCGCATACCATGCAGGCCGTGCTCCAGATGTCTGCTGGTGGCCCATACTCAGCGCCGATCAGCACCTCCACAGCTCGGTACTGCCGTGTCTGGATGTCCTCCGTGAAGTGCTTGTGCTGGAGGCAAGGGGAGCCCTGGGGACAGGAGCCAGCCCCAACCCTGCCCTGCCTCCCCAGTGCCCCTGCCCCTGCCCCTGCCCCTTTCCAAGCTGGTTGGAAGGGGCCTCAGCTCTTTGGAGGGGACACCCTGGCTACACCAGCGGGCCCGCTCCCCGCAGGCCTCCCCAAGGGGCTCGTACCACCCAGCAGGCGTTGCCCAGGTCTGCGATCTTGACCTTGATCTTATCTGCATTCTGGGGCTCCAGGGGGTTTACTAGGAGGTTCGAGGCACCAAAGGGTGCTGCGGGAGGAAGGGGCAGAGGTGTTGGACGGCCTGGCTCCTCTGGCCTGCTGCCTGCACCCATCCCCGCCCATGACACTTACCGCTGGGTGACAGGAGGCCCCCAGTCTCGCGCTGGTTGGATGAGCCCGAAAGGATGGAGCAGGAGGCCGCGGAGAACAGAGAGCCTGAGAAGCCTGAAGTCTGCGAGCTAGGGCTGAGGCTGCGGTGGCCTCCAAGAGCAGGGGAGGAGGAGGCCGGGGAGGTGTTGACCAGGGCGCCCCCAGGGTGGCAGCCTGAGGAGGAGGTGGAGCCGCTGCCCGCCTCGAGTGTCAAGCTGGAGTCTGGGGAGATGGGGCAGAGGTCCATGTGAGCAGCAGCCTGCACGTGCACTCACTGGCGGCGCGGCACCCCCGCCTGCCCCTCACCGTCGGCCTGGCCTGTGGCCTCCATGGCCTCCAGCCGCTGCAGGTCCCGCAGCCGCTCCTCCAGCAGCCGCTTCTGCTGCTTCCGTTTGCGCCTCATCTTCTTCCGCTTGTTTTTTGACAGTTTGCCAGTCTGCCACCAGAATCTTGGTCATCCCCGGGGCTGCTGCCACCTGGTCCTGCCATCTGGCAGTGGGAGTTCCCTAACCAGGTCTGGCCCTGGGCGCACATGGGATGCCACCGCCCTGTGGCCCAGCCCTCGGCCCATCTCAGCCAGCATGGGGTGTTCCCTGTTCCCTCCCGGCCCCAGCTGAGGCAGCCTGAAGTAGCAGGGGGGGACGTGTGACCCAGCCTGTGTATCTCGCTCATCAGGGCCACCCAGGCTTTTGGAAGTTACCACTGTTGGGGTGCAGTGAGTGTGGCTGAGGAGATGTGGAGAAGGAGGGGTGCCCCAACTTACCAGGACCTCCTGGGGGGCAGTGCTGACTGGGTGCAGTGGGGTGGGGAGAGAGAGGAGTGGAGATCAGGCGGGCCCTGAGGCCCCACAGTACAGCGCGGCCCTACTGCTCTTCCCGGTACCTGTGGAGCGGGATGGTGGCGGGGCCCCTGACTGCTGCCACTCAGTGGCTTCAGTTGCCAGGCGTCTGATGTAGGTGTCGCCCACGCACAGCAGGATGTTCTCGGGCTTGATGTCCGTGTGGATGATCTTGCACTTGGTGTGCAGGTAGTCTAGGCCATGCAGCACCTGGATACGGCCACGTCTGAGCTGCCGAAGGCCCTGCCCAGGTTAGGCCAGGTGGGCCGAGCAGCCCGGGAGGGGCGCTCACCTGCCTCACGATGCTCTTCACGCAGGGCACAGGCAGGCCTTGGTAGTTGGACTTGATGATCCACTTGAGGAGCTGGTGGCCCAGGACCTCCAGCACCATGCACACGTCTGGGCATGGAGTGAAGGGTGCATAGCTGGGGCTTGGGCAGTGCAGAGGTACGGAAGCAGGCTCGCCAGAGGCTGCCCTAGTGGCCACCATTCTCCCAGGGTGTCACAGTGTCATGACACCATCAGGTGCCTCCCACCATCGGGTGTACAACCAGTTTGAGAGGCCCTGTCCACTCTAGTGCTCTCCTTGGTCCCAGTGACACCCCCCCACACATCCCCGCAGCCACCCACTCCCCACCCCCCACACGCATGGAAACCCGGATGTCCAAAGGGTCGGATTGGCTCCTGGACTGCGCAGTTCAAGCAGAGGCACCGGAAGCTAAGAAGGGGAAGCCAGCCCCTTCCCACTGTACCCGCTACCCAGCCTGCCAAGGATACGGACTCCATTGACCCCTGAGATCCGGAAGTCATCTATGAGCTGAACGATGGTCTCCCTTTTGGGGTCACTGGGGTCGCTGTCCCGAACCTGGAAGCCAGGTGGCCGCAGATGGTCCAGTCTACCCTTCAGTGCCCCCCAAGCGCCAGTGGCTGTGCTCGCCCGCACCTCTGGTGCCCCCCTAGGCACCCCGCCCCTCCTTAGCTGAGCCCCAAGCACCCTGTACCCACGCTGCCAGGCCCTGGGCGAGCAGCCCCAGGAGCCCAGAGCAGAGGGGAGGCGCCTCACACATTTCAGGAGCTTGATCTCATCCACAGCTGTCTCTGTGTAATGCCCTGCACTCTTCACCACTTTCAGGGCCACGAAGCGCTTGCGCCTGCAACAGCAAGACCCTCGTCATGCACCGGCTCTGGCTACACTTGGGGCTATGCCGGGGGCCTCAGCCAAGCCTGGGGCGGAAGCGCAGCTAGTGCTGGGCCTTAGGGACTGGGGGCCACTCACTGGATGTCCCAACAGAGCCACACGGTGGAGAAGTGGCCCCAGCCCAACTTGCGCACCACGTGGTAGCGCCCATTGAACAGGTCACCGATCTTCACTGGGTAGTAGCCACCTGCGGAAGCGAGCTGACAGACCAAGTGCATCTCCCCCTGCCCCAGCCAGCCAGCCAGCCAGCCGGCCCTGCCAGCTGTCTGGCCCGTGCGGGCCTGGCCTCCGGGCACCCACTGCCTCCCGGGATGCCCGAGCCCCTGAGATACCAGTCTGGCTCTGCGAGCCCAACCCAGGCCTCACCCTTGCAGTAGTCCTTGGGGTCTTCCTGTTCCTCGTTGTCAGAGCCCAGCAGCCCCGGCAGCATCTGTGGCGCTGGCATGGCTGGGGCCAACTCGGAGCCTGAGGACTCAGGCCCGCAGGAGGTCTGCGAGCTGTGGGCAAGGTAGGGTGGGTAGCCAGTGAGCATGTGATGTGCCGAAGACCCCGGGCGCCTAGCCGAGCCCTACCTGCTGCTGCTGCCGCCACTGTCAGCACCACCACTGCCCCCTGTGCTGGCGCTCATCCCGGCCTCGGCCCACAGCTCCGGCGCCCCGGGGAAGCAGCTCCTGTGGGGCCCTGTGGTGGCCTGCACATTTATAGCCTTGGCCGCTGATCTCACCCGCCTTTATAAATAGCTTCCCAGCTGCTCGGCTGTGGGCAAGGTATGCACTCGGGGAGGGGGCGGTGCAGCGACAGGACGGTGGCCAGAGCTGGGCCCCTAGGCTCAGGCCCCGATGCACTCTGGGACAGCCGGCGGTCACTTGGGCCCCAGGCTGAGTCCCCACACTTTCGGACCGAGCGAGGGGCACCTAGAGGAGGGTGAAGCACTCCCAAGCGCCTGCATACAGGTCTGACTGCAGGGACCTCCCGTGATGGTGCGGTTGACATGTGACCAGGTCCTCAAGCTGAGTGCTGCCCCCCATGCTGCAAGGCTGCATTTTGGACCATACGGGACATTCTCGGACTTCTCACTTGGCCCCTGTGGGCATCCTCGTGGGGCTGAGCCCTGGCTGCTACCAGCTGTTCCCTGAGACGGGGGTGGGGGCTCCAGTGTCTCCCAATTGTGCCGCAGGGGCCCTGGCTGGGTGGCGCCTAGGCGAGAGTCAGGAGCAACTCGTGCCCCACTGGAGTGCCAGGCCCTTCTGGGACCCTGCTGTGGCGCCTGGCACAGCCTCCCTCCCAGCCCCCTGCTTGCTCTGGGCCACCGCTCCTGCTGTGTTCCCATCTGTACCAACATTTGCCGGGTGCCCCCTGGCAGCCACGTCCCCCACAGACACTGCCTGTCAGCTGGGTGAAACGGAGACTGCAGCCTCAAGGCTGGACACACCCAGGACAGCCAGGGCACAGCTGGGGCCCGGGCCTGTACATAGGCAATGCAGAGGGACACAGGGGCCTGCCCCACATCTGTGGGTGCCAGTGAGGGGTTCCAACAAGGCTGGGAAGTTGTCACTCTTGCTGCTTAGGAAGGTCATCCTGGGCAGGCGTTATGGTGCATACCTGTCATCCAGCACTCAGGAAGCTGAGGCAGGAGGATCGTTGTGTGTTCGAGGCCAGCTTGGGCTAAAAAGTGAGCTCAAGGCCAGCCTGAACTGCATAGCGAGACCCTGTCTCAAGACCAAAAAAAAAGTCTATCCTGGCTCTTCTCACTATCCTGGCTCTTCTCAAAGGGAAAGGGGGAAGGGCAGGGCTGAGGCAGTTGGGAACCACTGGGAGGTGGAAGTGAGCTGTGAGGGACTGGGGATTGGGCTTTTTCAAAAAAGACACCTTTATGTTTTATTTCAGCAAGCAAATAAATACAGTGGGCGAGGGGTTGGGAAGTCATAAGTTAGAAACAAGCCCGGTGAGGTGGCTCCTCTCTGGCACCCTGGCTCCGTCCTGCGGTGGAAGCAACTCAAGGCCTCAGCAGGTCCTGCTTTCCAGCAGCTCATAGGTCGGTCACCTTGTTCTCCACCAGGGCGGCGATCTGCTGCAGGCGGCAGGCCAGCTGCATCTTCTGACCCATGGGGTCCTCCTCCAGGGCACTGATGATCTGCCGGGTGACCAGAGCACCCTCGAGCCTGTTGCTGTCCACCGGCAGGAACACCGGCTCCACTCCATCTCAGCAGGGCCCCCGTCCACCCTCAGCGAGGACGGGATCCACCCCCCCAGGACCATCTTGGCTTGTCCTCTGCCCCACCCCCTGGACACCTAGGCCTCACCTGGTCATAATACCTATGGATGTGGTTGTACAGTTCCTGTAGAGCCTCCAGGCAGTGGGGAGCGGAGGTATAGTTCTGGGGACAGCATGTGGGCAAAAGTTACCTCCAGCCCAGGCCATGCACCCCGTGGGCCCCCCAGGCTCTGCTGGTGAATCCCCCCAGAGGTGAAGGGTCACGCCTCGCCTCACCCCGGAGAGCTCAGCCAGAGCTGAATTCATCTCCTGGTAGCTGGCTGGCGAGCTGCGGCGGATGTCTGCGTAGTATCTGCAGGAGCCTAGAGTTAGGGGCAGGCAGCCTGGCCCCCCAGCCCTGCCGCCTCCGCCACCTACTTCTCCACCATCTGCTTGTAGCGAGGGATTTCACGGGCGTAGAGCAGCTTATTCACTGGGGAGTCCTGGTGGAGAGGTGCCAGCATGAGTGGGAAGCGGGGCAGCCACCTTGGCCCTCCAGGCTGCCCCAAAGCCTTTGCCCCCTGCTGGCCTGCGGGTGCCCGGCCCTGCCCTCACCCGGCCCACTTTGTGCTCCGAGATGGTGCAGGCATCGATGAAAGTCTGCGCAATGACGGCCAGGATGGCATCCACATTGTCTGACACGTGCATGTCGAAGACGAGCTGTGGGTTCTTCAGGGCATTCACCCAGAATCGCAACAGCAGACTGGGGACACAGGCCAGGTGCGGGGTGAAGCCCAGACCACCCCTGGCAGGCAGAGTCTGCGCCCCGAGGACAGGCAGAGTCTGCCGGGAAGGCACCTGTTGGTCTTCCAGATGTGTAGGGTCTCCGGGTCCTCGATGTTGTGCTTCTCTGCCAGCTCATCTAGGAAGTCGAACAGGTACTTGATGGCGAGGGGCACTGGCCGGTTCACGCTGAGAATGGCCTGGAAGGTGTCGTCTACAAACTTCTGCAGCGTGCCCTGCGGGGTGACGGCACGAGGTGAGCGGCCCGCTCTCTGCCCCAGCTCGGTGGGCTCCGGGCACACTGACCTTCATGGAGAGCAGGCGGGTGAGGTAGATTTCCGGAATGGCCTTGGCTCGAGCCCGTTCCCGCTCCCGCTCCCGCTCCCGCTCCCGGAAGCTGCCACGTCGTGCCTTGGCCCCTTCTGGCTCCTCGGCCTTCACCAGGTGCCACAGGTGCACCCCGCCCTCCTCACCGTCCTCCAGGATGGGGATGTCTGGGGGCGCAGAGGCTTGGCCTCAGTCCTGCCCTACCCCAGCCTGTGCCACAGGCCAGGCAAGGAGGACAGAGATGGGAGGAGGCAGGCGGAGGGGCAGCAAGGCAGAGGGCAGGGATGGGGCCCCTGCCCGGTGCAGCCAGCCACGTAAGACTCACTCTCCCCTGAGGGGCAGCCCTGTGCCAGGCTCTGGGAGACAGTGCCGCCGTTGTGCAGCTGAGGAATGAGCCCCACAGTTGCGCCATCGGGGACCTGGTGGGGCAGGGATGAAGGAGGCCCTTCGCTGGGGCTGCCTGCTCTGGGAGCCCGTGTGGGCTGGTCACCCCGCCCCGCCCCGCCCCGCCCTGTCTCTGCCGGCCGGCACCTTGTAGTGCTGCAGAGTGTTGAGTCTCTTCCAGTGGTTCTGAGTCACCGAGGTCAAATCCTCATCTGACAGGGTCAGGTGACCGGCCAGACCTGAGCGCCACTCTGGAGGGACCAGTGCAAGCCCATCAGGCCGAGCCCCCTGCAGGTGCCAGGCGGGAGCTGGACGGACTGGCTCTCTCACCAAGGTCGAGGGCGTGCACCGAGGGCCTCTGCGAGAAGGGGGTGCCCCTGTAGACTTGGTCCAGCACCTTCTCCTTGACCTGGGTGATGGTGTCCGTGTCGAGCACCCGGGCCGGCACATGCTGCAGCTCACCACCACCTGCGGCCCCGCCAGCCCCGGACCCCACCAGCACCATCAGCGTCAGAGGCCTGAACTCCACATCCTCCCGCAGCAGGTGGCTGTCATTCAGGGTCCTTTTCGCCTTGCCCGTCACGGCATCTACGGGGCCCTTGTCTACCTGGTACTGGATGGCACGGAAGAGCATGTACAGCGGCTCACCAGCCACTTCCTGCAACCACCAAGGTGTGCCACAGTTGGCCATGGGGCCATGTGCCAGGGAGGCCCAGCCCGGGCATGGCAGTAGTACAGGGTGCAGGCGAGGACCGACTGGGACAGCCAGCCTGTGCTGGCCCTGGGGCTGGGACCCGAGCTCTCCCCACCTCTGTCTGCCATCCAGACGGGAAAGGGCCTCCCAGCGGGCCTACTGGACAGAGGCAGGCTCTGGGGACCTGTGGAGGCCCCCCAGGGTAACTTGTGCATGTGCTGGGGAGGCCAAGGCAGGCCACTCCCAAGTGCTGGGAGGGCGGGCTGGTGCCACCCAGAATGCCCCTCACCCTCAGGAAGGCGTAGAGACAGATGGACAGCCAGTTGGTGAGTAGCTTTTCCACCATGGTTTCTGTCCTGTGGGGAAGAGGCCCCAGGTCCTTGGTCAGGGTGCCCCTTCATCCCACTTCCCCCCAGGGGCTCCTGGTCCACACCCCAGGGCAGAGCCCACCCAGAGTGTAGTGGGTGTAAGTCTGCCCAGGGCCAGGCCAACCTGCGCAGCATGAGCTTGGGGTTCTTGCGCACATAATGGGCTGCCAGGTCCCCGAGCAAAGTCTTCATGATGTCGGTCAAGTACTCCAGCTTGCCGTGCAGTGCCAGGGACAGCAGCGAAGCCACATGGCAGCGATCCCTCTGGGAGAAGCTGGGCTGCTCCTCCAGGGTGTGGATGAGCTGGGCAGGGAGAGGGTGCTCACCCCAGGAGGCCCATGTGACACCCTGCTCTTGTGCCCCTGCCCCTAGCATGGCAAGACCACCCCTCCCCACGTGCCCTGCCCACCCCAGCACCACTTGGGCCTCACTGTGAGGAGGAAGAGCTTGCTGTTGAGCAGGTTGGAGAGCTGGGTGAGGCCCTGGCACACAGTGGCGCGGCGGCCCTCTTCCCCGGGCCCTTCAAGCTTGGGCTGCAGCGGGCAGCCACCATGGCCCGGGAAGAAGGCACGCTCAGCGTACGTGCGGTAGTCCAGGAAGGGGATCCCGCTGGCCTCCAGGTCACTGCTGAGGTCCGTCATCTCGGTCATCAGGTCTGTGGCCAGGAGCCACTGAGATGTGGGCCCAGGACCGGCAGGCCCTGTGCCGCACGCATGTACGCACGCAGGCGCACCCACCCCCCCACGCCCCCCCCCACACCTGTGAACTCCTTCCGGCACTGGTCACCCACGCCTGTCTCTAGGTTCTCCAGCTGAACCAGCACCTTCTGGTAGTCCCGCAGGGCCTGCTTGCTCTTGTGCCTGCATGGGGCCCAGCGTCAGCCTCAGCCCAGGCCACCGGGGCCCCTTGCCCAGCCCCCAGGGAAGTCTGTACACAGGGAGCCCTCACCTGTACATGAGTGTGAGGAGGAGCACAGCGGCGATCAGCACAGCGGCGCCCATGCCCAGGCCCACCTGGGCCTCCACAGGGAAGGCGGGCAGTGCAGGCTCTGCCTCGTATAGGACAGGGCCCAGGGCCAGGCGCACGTTGCCCATCTGTACCTGTGGGGGGAGGATCCTGAGCACAGGGAGCCTGCAGCATGCACCCTACCTGGCCACCAGCCGTCCTGACCGCATGCTCACCACAAACTGCGGCAGCGTGCTTGAGCCATTGGCCGCCTGCGGCGCGCGTGGTGGTGGCTCACAGTACAGGTGTGTGAGTGTGAGCGTCTTCACCCGGCATTCGCCGTTGCCGATGTGCACGCGCACCTCCTCCTTGCTGATCCCCAGGTTGAGGCCCTCGCCCTGGACATGTGGGAAACCTGAGCTGCCATCGCGCCCCACCCCACAGCCCAAGTGCCCCAGCTGGCGGCGTGCTCACCTCCACGTCCAGGACGTGGCCCGGCTTGAGGCGGTAGGGGCGCGATGGCCCTTCGCGGCTGAGCGGGGCCAGGCGTGGGTTGGGCTGGTACTGGAAGTCCTGACCCCCGCTGGTGCTGGCAAAGTCCACATGCACGTTGTCCAGAGCGAAGAAGACCCGCTTTGGGTGGGCCCCGTCGGGCACAGCGGGGCTGCGGCACAGGAGGAGGCTGGACGAGTTGACGGAGCAGACGGTGGAGCACTGGGGGAAGTTCAGGCCAGTGAGCAGGGCTCGCTGTGCTGTGGTGTGGCCTGGGGACCACCCTGCTACCTGCTGGTGTGGCAAGGGACTCACCTGAAGCAAGCCCCCTGCAAGCTGAACACAAGCCTGGGGGTCTGCAGTTGGGGCCCCACAGCTCCTCCTGGGGTTCGGGTCCCCGAAAGCCTTCACTTCTGCCTCTGCCTCCAGCCACACGGACAGCAGGGGCTGCCACACAGCATCTAGGCCCGTGCCCCTCACACGGATCAGCCGCCCACCCCTGTGCCAGGATATAGGTTAGAGGGTGCGGGGAGGGCGGCAGCGGCCCGGCCCGGCCCCAGCATCCCCGGCTCAGGCTCCTCACCCTCGGAAGCTGACACTGGGCTCTGCTGCCAAGAGCCGTGGGTTGGCAGTGTATCGGAAGGGGCTGCTGAGCAGTTTGCGCTCGGCGTGGCCGAAGACCACAAGGACCGCTGCTTCTCCTGGCACAGCCTGGGGCATGGTGCGGCACACAATGGCCTCGGGACATGTGGGCTCCAGGCTGTGGGGCGGGAGGAGGATTTCTTCTCTGGGGCTCTCGGGCTGCTAGCCCAGTTCCCCTGGGATCAGGGGCAGAGACTGGAGTGGGCATGGCGCTGCTTCTCTGCGATCTGACAGAGGCCCACAGGAGGCATCCAGCACACGACAGCAGCCAGGCCTGGGCCACATGGGTGACAGCAGGGCTGGGTACTCACATGGGACAGGCTTGGCCACCCACGAAGGCACTGATGTTGCCTCCCGTCTGCAGGTGCTGCCCGTGGATGGTGAGCTGGGTGCCACCCGCCTGTGGGCCCCACCGGGGACTCAAGCTCAGCAGGACGGGGTCCTAGGGAACAGGGCAGGTGTGGCAGGTGTGTGGCCCCAGGGCTCTGCCACATGGGCTGCTTTCTGGTCTCTCAAATGTCAGGGCCACAGCTGAGTGTGTTCTCTTTCCGGAAACACTGTGTCCTGGTTGCATAGCCTGAATTCCCAGCCTCCTCCCACGTCCCCACCCCCCGACAGCTTGCTGCCCCACCCCCAAGCTTCAGCTTTGCCCTGCTACCCGTTTGCCTCCTTGGGGTGCTGCATGTGCCAGACAGAACTGCACCAACCCTGGCTCTCCCACCCCAGAAGTGTCCCTGGCAGGTGTCCAGGGCTCAGGCTGGCACCTGCAGGCATCCTTGCTCTCTCCAGCCCCTGCTCCTACAGGCAGCCCGGCCCATGACAAGTCCTGACAGCTTTGTGCCCGGACTGGCTCAGGTGCCCTCCTCCCTCCTGGACAGTCGCCGATGGCACTGTCTTTGCCGCTGCCACTTCCACTGCCCCCAGCCTGCTGTCCCCTGAGGTTGTGTGGCTGTCCTCCTGGGTCCACGGCAGTGCTTCCTTTTCCTCGGAGCCAGTGTGCTAGCCTCACTTCGGCCCCCGGCGGTCCTCCCCATACCCCCGCGCTAAGGACACCCAGGGTGGGCACTGACCTGGTAGGTGAAATGCTGGGCTGAGATGCCCGGTGGCCGGCTCTTGATGGCCACTTGCACGGGCCCCGTGGTGCCATTGGGGGCGGGGGGTGTCACACACACAACCCTGGGCAAGCCAAGGACCGTGGCTGCCCAAGCTGCTGTGAAGCCGCAGGCCTCCTGCCAGCCGTTGCCCGGAGCGGCTCCCTTTCCCCTCCCCTGCCTGGTTTCCTTTCGCGCTCTGACTCGGGGCCCCAAGCTTCTCGGCCACAGCCTCCCTTCTCCCTGGGTGGCCACCCACAGCGGCGTCCCCACCACCTCCATGGCCCGGGCACCTCACCGAGCGGAGGTGCGGTAGCGGGCAGGGTCGGGGCTGCAGGGAAGGCCAGCCACGCTCACGGCATCTTGCACATCAGCAAAGGTCCGGCCCAGGTTGGAGCCCAGGATAGTGAGGGCCAGGCCGCCCTCCGGAGGGCCGGTGAGGGGTTCAATCTGCAGCAGGCAAGGGTGGCGCGTGGGATCCCCCAACACACCCTGCTTTGCAGCGGGGCGCCTGGCCAGCCAAGCTGCCCGAGGCTGGGGGCCAAAAGCAGGGCTGGGGGTGGGTAGGACTGCGGGGAGGAGTGGGAAGCTGGGTCACGAGGGAGGGAGGGGGTGCTCACCGCCTCGATGCTGGGTGTGGGACACAGCAGCTGCACAGCCGCTGATGGGCACAGCGGCGCATAACGACAGCCAGGCTGGCTGTCGCCGCACCATAGGCAGCCCAGGCTCCCGTTGGCCGCCTGGCAGTGGCTGCAGTCAGGGTGGCCCACAGCGCAGTCGTACAGGGTCACTGGGTAGGGTCAGGCGGCACGGTGAAGCCCTGCCCCTGCAAGCCAAGGCCCTTCCCCCGCCTGCCAGCCTCCCCCAACTCACCATGAAGACTGCGGGCATTGTCCAGCCGCTGGGTCTCCCCCCGGGTGACGTAGATGGGCACCGGGAGCTCCCACTGGGATGTGGAGGGGTAGAACTGTGGGTGGAGGACAAGGTCAGGCTTGACTCCCACTTGGGGCACAGCTAGAATGGGTGTGATTGTTCCCACCCAACCCAGAGCCTAGGGACAGAAGCCAGGGGCACTGTGTTCCTGCCATGCGCTGGAGCCTGGCACGGAGCAGGGGGATAAGGCATTGGGAAAAGCAAGGGGGCCAGAGGGCTGCAGAAGGTGCCTGGCGGTGGCAGGTGAGGCTGCCAGCAGCTGCACACCTGCTGGGCCTGGCAGTGAATGAGACCTGCACCCCCGTCCTTGTCCCTGTCCCCGGCTGTCTCCTGCAGGAAGGCAGGCAACCTCTGCAGCTCTCCTGGCAGCTCCAGCCAGCAGTTGTAGGAGGCAGGCAGGCCCTGGTGAGAAGGGGGACACTGTTAGCCCCCTGGACATGTCACATCCCCATTGTCCTGGACACCTGCCCACCTGATCACTCACTCGGAAGTATTGAAGGTTTCTCACGTGCAGGGCTAGATGGATGTCCCAGCCCACGGGCACCAAGTGAGGTCCTGCCAGAGCATCTACCTGGGGACAGGTCTCCGGGCCACGTGCCTGGATGTCCTCCTAGAGAATGAGAGCTTTGACCCTGTGGCACTCCAGGGGCCTGCGCCCAGATACTCAGCCTGTTGTGTGGTGCCAGCAGGGGCGGCCATGGAGGGCTGGGCACACCCACCTCCTGGGAACTGTAGACTGTCCTCTCCCCCTCCGGGCAGTGCTCTCCGTGCACACAGCGGCTGCTCTGGGGACACCAGTGGCACCGCCAGGGGCCGCCCACACAGGCGTGGCACCTGCAGAGGCAAGGGTGTGCTTAAGCAGGGCACTGTTGAGGTCTCTAACCCCACCCAGCAGGAGCCAGGCCCCAGGGACTCACGGGGCAGCCACCTCCAGGGCCTGGACAGTGCTGCAGTCATAGAAGGAGAAGTTGGTGGTGGCCACAGCCACGTCCTCAAACATCAGGGCCAGGGGCAGGGTGACGTGGTCTGGGAGAGGACAGTGGTGGCAGAACAGCTCATGCATCTCCTACCCCCTCCGGCTCTGCCCTTGGCCTCTCCGCGGGGAGAGCAGGCCTGCTCACCTGTGCCGGGAGGGTTACGTGGCACCTGGTCTTGGGGAGGGGTGACACAGGCCACATGGGGACCGTGCACGTGAGCCAAGCTGTCATAGTCCCCAAAGGCACAGTGGAAGTATTCATCCTCAGCCAGGGTGGGCAGCCAAGGGACAGACAGGGTGACCTGGGACACACACAAGGGCCGCAGGGAGACAGGGCTGAGTGGAGTGTGGTAGTGTCCGTGAGCGGCACACGGGGGCAGAGGCCCTACCTGGCCCTGCTCCTGGCGGGGCTGCTGGGCGGGCTGCAGGCTCTGAATGCAGAGACAGCGGCTGGTCTCCTCGTAGCTCCAGAGCCACTGGCGCGGCTGGGCCGCCCGCTTGCACTGGCCCTTCTGGGTGCACCTGTGGGCAGGGCCCCTGGGGTCACCCTGTGGATCTCAGGCTCCCTGGGGGGCTCCCAGTAGGGAGAGTAAAAGGGACTTGCTGAAAGGAGGTCCCCTCCTCCTAGGAGGAGTACCTAGGTGGAGCACCAGCCTGCAGAGGCGCCAGCTGGATTCGCCCCCAGAGCGGTGGGCGGACTGAGGAGAGGGCCACAGCCTGGGTGGCTATTTTGGAGTGCAGGCCCCGCCAGGGGCAGGCTCATGCTCACCTGCCCTGCAGGACGCACCAGCCGCACAGTGGGTCCCGGGCCTGGAGGCAGCTGAGGCAGTCAGGGAACTGGGGGCAGGTTGCCACAGGGACCCGGGCCACCTGGAAGGAAGGACGGGGTCACAGGGACTTGGGGAATGGGCACAGGCCCAGCCCCCAGGCCCAGGTGGCCCTCACCTGTTGGGTGGTCAGGACATAGAGGTGACTGCCACTGCTGTCCACCAGCAGGTCAGGGCTGATGGCCACACCTGGGGGCCCCACTTGCTGGGAGTGGTACACCTGGCCTTGGGAGCTATTGACAAAGACCTGGGCAGAGCACAGGGACAGGGCTGGGCCATCCTGCCAATCCTCTGACAGAGGCTCCCTGTGCCCCCAGAGCCAGCTCCCCTTCCTGCTGGGCCATCTAGGTAGGGACATGCCAACCTCGTACTGGGCACTGGGGAGCTGTAACAGGGCCACCCCAGGGCTCCGGGAGGTACAGAGGGGTAGGCAGGTGACCCTCACCCACCTTGACTATCGGCTGTCGTTGTTCAGAGAAGGCAAGGCCATCTTAGGAGGTGCCCGGGCAGTTACCCTAAGTCACCCAGGGGGCAAGCAGAGCAGGAGGGGACACCTTCCAGGTGTCAGGGTGCGAGAGGCAGAAGTGGAGGGACAAGTGGAGGCCACACAAGGGCACTCCTTGGCCAGGCCCTTACCTTATGCAGCTGGCCCTGGGTGTCCCCCAGGAAGGCGATGGTGTGCCCCTCGCTCTGGAGGGCCGCCACGGCACTCACGGGCTGCCTGAGCTGCAGCAGTGGCCGGGCCTCCAGGGGCTTGCGGCTAGCAATGGGGCTGGGGGTGTGCTCATCCCCACAGGGGTACGACTCAGGCGAGTCCTAGATGACAAGGACAGGACAGAGCAGCTGGAGCCCTGCTGTGACAAGCCAGCCGAGAGGCCAGCAGGCCTTCACTGCAGAGAACAGCCCCGCCCCGGGCCATGAGCACCTCATGAGCATGTGGAAGCCTGACAGGACCACTCACCAACGGCAGAGTGACGCAGCGTGACGTGACACCGTACTCCACAGTGGCTTCCTCGGTGCCGCTGGGGCCCCGGCCACCCGCCGTGTAGCAGAGTCGTCGGGCGTGCTCCATGCTGCCGTCCAGCTCGGCCAGGGGAAAGACACACAGTGCTGTGCGTGCTTCGCTCATGCCAGCAGCAAATGCTCCCAGTAAGGTGCCCGGGGCGAGGAAGGCGGCCTGGATGAGGCCTTGGCCCTGGCACGCCAGGGGCACCTCCACATAGGAGTAGAGGTTGGCATCGCCCAGGCACACGCGGGCTATGTAGGAGCGGTACTCGGCCTGGGCCCGCGCACCGCGGCGGCGGAAAACGAAGTAGGCAAAGCGGGTGTCAGCAAAGGCTGCCACGTAGCTGTTGTTGTAGTCGGAGAAGTCACCCACCACAAGGCGGCCCAGGCCCTCGCTCGAGAAGGGCTGTGGCCCGGTCAGCTGACGGACGCTCAAGGGTGGCACTCCGGCAGACAGCTTGCCCGCCAGGCCCCTGGCCACCAGCAGGAGGTCTCGGTCAGGCAGGGACACCACCAGGCCCACTGTGGCCACCCCCGGGCTGTTGGCGGCCACAAACTGCCCATCCCCAGGGTCCTCGGCCTGGTACAGCACTGTGGCCACGTCCCCCAGGCGCCGCTTCTCACACACGCCCTGCCTCACCTGCCCGCAGGCCACCAGCTCCCGGGCCCTGCTGCTCACAAGCAGCAGCTGGTTGGCGTTGTTGGTGAGCCGGGCCTGCGGGCACTCGGCCGGGTCTCGGAAGGGCACACAGTCAGGACTGTCGACAATGGGGCCGGTGACAGCCATGCCCTCGAGCTGCAGCTCTGGGCTGAGCTGGAAGAGGCGGTTCACCGCGCCCACATAGAGCGTGCCCCGGCCTGGTGCCAGAGCCAGGTGGTTGAAGGTGGTGTTGGGGGCAGAGAAACGATGGCCCCCCGGGAAAGGCAACAATGGCTGTGGGGACAGCAGCAGCAGCAGCAGCGGTGGCAGCAGGAGGTGGAAGCCAAAGGGAGGCCAGGAAGCCATCACTGGGGCCTGGGGGAGGGACAGAAAGACGGGGTGGGGGCAGGGGGTGAGGGGGTGGAGAGACAGGCCAGAGAGACAGCAGGAGGACACAGAGGAGGACAGAAAGACGGACAAAGGACGTGTTTCAGGGCTGGGGAGAGTTGTGGGGGTGGGGCAGGACCCTAGATGAGTGACAGAGGGACACCCACAGCACAAGGGACAGGAAGGGAAAACCCACCTGGGCGCAGAGGAGCCCTCACCTGCTGGGACAGAGAGCCAGGGAGAGATACAGCCACAGCGGCCCCAAAGGCAGCAACAGACCCGTGGCCAGGGGCACGGCCCAGAGGGACTGGCAGGGGCGAGGTGGCAGTCTGGGCCTGGGTGTGGGGGCTTGCAGAAGCGGGGTGGGGAAGGGGTGAGCTGGGCCGTACCGCCTGGAGGGGATCGGAGAGTCCCAAGCCTCCAAAACAGGCCCCCCTGCCCCTGCACCTTGGGCACACCAGGTTCAGCCAGCCACTTGGAGGACACTTGGGGCAGATACGACCTTTGGTGGAGCCCTGGGAAGAAGGCAGGAGCTGGTGACAAGCCCTGAGTTGAGCTGGGGTCCTTGCAGCTGAGCGTGTGGGCATGTTCCAGCTGAGAGCTGCCCACTGCCAGTCCAGCCCCCGGCCAAGCCCCAGGAAGGCTCGGAGCCCTTATCTCAGGGACACAGCCAGGCGGGACCAGTACTTCCTCTGGACCGTGGGTATCTCGGAAGCAGCGCCGTGCTGAGGCTCCCCTGGCCTGGCCGTATCACTCCACCCATCCCCCTGGGGACATCTTCGGGGCTGTGGGGCCCAGACACTCACCAGCACAGAGGGGAGCAGCAGCGTGGTTTTCCGGGCAGTGTGGCGCAGCCTGGGCTCAGCTGCCCCGGGGCAGTGGTGACCGGCACAAGATGGCTGTGGAGGGCATTGTCCTGAGTGGGAGGGAGGCAGTCAAGGCTCAGCCCATTCATGTTGTCCTGGGGGAGGGGGCAAGGGCCTGGCGATCAGGCTCCCCCATAGCTGGCAGCTCTGTCCACAGTGGCCAGGCCAAGGCAGCCCTGCCTCCACCCCAACAATGTCCCCTCTGTCCGGAGAGCCCAGACCAGGGGCCCACTATCTGGTACTCGTGCCCCCACCCAGGGTTTTCGGGCCAGGGGGCTCCCTGCCACTCTCCGCCTCCAGGGAGACACCCCCTGTGATGTGGGGACAAAGGGACAGGGTTTCCTCCCCATCTGGCCGGCAGCTCCTGTGCCAGCCTGGCATGCTCCTCCCTGAGCAGCTCTGGGTCCCTCGGAAGGGCACGGCACAGACCTCAGAGCCCTCGCAGCCTTGGAGGCAGGCTGAGGTGCCAGTCCCACCCTCAATGCCCGCCTTTGTCCAGCCTGGGGCAGAGGAGGCGCGGACAAAGGCGGCCCCTGCAGAGGACCTTCTCCCTGACCCAGGCTGTCCCCACCCAGCCCTGCTCCCAGAGACTGGCAAAGTTGTGCCAGGTACGGCGTGGTGGTAGGGGAAAGGCACCAGGGCAGGAGCCCGTGGGAGGGACCCTTGCCTCACAGCACAGCTGGCTGCTGCCACCCACTCCCGGGGTCCTAGGTCCCCTCCTCGCTTGAAGTGTGGGGAGGGGGGAGGCGGCCTGCCGCTGGCTCCAAGCTGCCCTTAGAGGGCACCCTGGGGACACTAGGCTGGAGCTCAGAGCGCAGGGCCAGGCATGCTCTGCTTGGGGTCCTTGCTTCTTCTTGCTGTACGGCAGGCAGCATGGGCTCCAGCACGCCCTCCCAGGGCGAGGTGGCAGCGGTAGCTGGTAGCTGGCAGCTGGCTGGGCCGGTTGGGTGGCTGTGGGGGTGGGGAATTAGGCCGCCTCCTTACCCTGCTCCAGCGGGGGCTCAGGCTGCTTCTCAAATTTGGGGTCCCAAGCCACAGTGCTCCACTTCCTAGCGCCAGCACCGCCCCCTGGGAGACACCAAGCCCCCGAGCACCAGGAAGTTCCTGTGACAGGCTGCCAGTTTCCCCTCTGACGCCGGCTTCTTCCGGCCCTGGAGAGCCCCAGACCCTGCAGCCCGAACCCAGGCCAGCCCCGGCCTATGCCTACCTGGGTGGGACAGCTGGGCCAAGGAGCAGCTGGCAGAGTCCGGAGCAAGTCGCGCGGAGCTCAGCCTCCCTCCCGCGCGCAGTCACACCCAGCCCAACTCATCCTGCGGGCCCAGTCTGGCAGCCCGGCCCCTCCCACCTGCCCGTGCCCATAGCGCAGGGCTGGGCACGGCCATCCCTCGGTGGGTGAGGTGGAGGGCTGGCCAGAGACCCTAACTTTCCATGCAGTGCCCCCCAGGGTCACGAGTGGACTCGTGGCTGGCATCATCTAGACATAAAGTGTCATGTGAAGATGAGCAACCCAGGTCTCCGTGGGGAAACCGAGGCACAGAGGTTTGGAAACTTACACAAATAGCACAGCTAGTGAATGGCAGGGTTAAGAGTTGACCTGGGGTCCCTGGACTTCTGCTCCTGGCGGTCCTGAGGCAGGAGGGCAGATGGCGCCATGTCCGAGTGGTATGCAGGAAGCCGTCAGGATTTCTCCTGGCTGGGGCTTGGCACAGGGTGGGTGCCGAAGCAGCAATCATGGAGGGGCTCGGCCACCCGTTCTGTGTCTTAGGAACAGTGTTGGTGGGCCTGGCAGGGAGAAGGCAGGAGGCCGTGCCAGGAGTGGAGGAAGATGCGTGCAGACCAGTAGGTGTGGGGCATAGAATGCTGAACACTTGCTACTGGGTAGGGTATAGGAGGCTGAGGCAGGACAGTGCAGGAGCCCCACCTCTGGGTCCTTTCTGCTGCGACACTGTTCTCAACAGCCAGAGTCCCCAGTGGGGACAGAAGGAAATGGCCAGGGGTGGGTGCATGGCTCTGGAAGGGACTTGGGGGAAGCCCAGCACGTTGGGCAGGGTGGCAAACCTGAGCCTGAAGGCTCAGGGGCTCAGGGCATCACTGCCACCATCTGAGTACCTGGCCACCCGATGCCAGGTTCTTTGCTACATGCTCAGGGAAGAAATGGGGTACAGAGCCAGTTGAGGTGGTGCACGCTTGTCATCCCAGCTACCCAAGAGGCTGGGGCAGGAGGATGGCAAGCTCAAGGCCAGCCTAAGGATGTAGCTCAGTGCAAATGCTCTGGGTTCGATCCCCAGTACTGCACACAGGAAGGACAGGAAAAAGGGCAAGGCATGGAAGTAGGTTACTTTCCCAAGTCTCTTGCCCAAGGCTGTGAGTCTAGAGTGCTCTATGGAGGAGGAACGTGAACCCAGGTGCCCTGGGCCACACTCTGGGTCGCTGGGCCATGGCCGCTGTCTCGGGTGCCCCCTCCTGATGGGAAGGGACAGGGAAATGGCACATGTGCGGGCAGCCAGGCAATGGGGGAGCCCAGGCAGCCGTGCAGGGGCCACACAGGCATGTGGAGCCCCAGCATGGGCGAGGGCTCCCACAGCTGGACTGGAAGTGCTATCCCTCCGGCAGCCCCTGGCCCAGCCTTTCCTTGTCTCTGTATGTCCCATACCCCCTACCCCAACACATGCCTCCTTGATGGTCTCCAGAGGACAGACATCTTCAATCTGGCATCGCCAATGTCTCTACTCACTTCTCCAGCAGTAAACAAATCCACTCACAGGTTTTGGCATCTTTCAAACCCAGGCTGGCCTCGAACTCGGGCCGATCCTCTGTCTCAGCCTCCCTAGGGCTGTTGACTATCTTATGAAAGGGGAGTCCACCACTTGTACCCTGCAGACGGCTCAGTCCGCTCCCTTGCACACCAGGCAGGTGTGGCCGCCTTGCACCTTGGGCCAGCTATTGGCCACTCTTCTCTCCCTGCTGTGTGGGAGGCCTGGATCCTGACCACGGCTTGGTACGTCTGCCCTCACGGTGGGAAATGGCACCTCACAGGGCTTTGAGCTGGCACCCATGCCTCCAAGTTTCTTCCGTTTTCTCATCCTTCTAGAAAACGCCTATGTTTGGTTTTCTCAAACCAAAGGTTGCTCTCAGTATTATTCGATGAAGAGAAGGCCTTCATTTTAATGTAATAGTATCTATCCATGTTTTCTCTTATGATTGCTCATTTTTGTCTTAAGAATTTCTGGAAGCAGCCAGGTGTAGTGTCACATACCTGTCATCTTAGCACTCGGGAAGCTGAGGCAGGAGGATCAGTACAAATACGAGGCCAGTCAGGGCTACAATATTGAGGTCAAGGTCAGTCTGAACTGCATAGCAAAACCCTGTCTCAAAAAAACCAACCAATCAACCAACCAACTAACCAACCAAACAAACAAAAAATAATTCCTGGAAGGGGATGTAAGGAGATTCAAAATGTGTGTCTTAGTTACTTTTCTCGTTGCTGAGACAAAATACCCAAAGCTAAAGGGGAAAAAGTTTGTTTAGCTCACAATTTGTAGAGGTTTCTGTCCATTACTGGCTGGCTCCAAGGCAGGGTGGCGCGGCAGGCAGCTATAGCAGAGGAGAAAGGTGGTGGTGCCAGCAGAAGGTAGCAAAGGAACAAGCGTCGAGCACAGCTCTATCCCTTATGTCTTATCCAGGCTACTTAGGGCAGGCAGCATTCACACCCTTAATCCTAGCGCCCTTAATCCTAGCATTGCACCATGAGTCAATCCCAGCATCACACACTCTAGATCCTGCCACCTCTGAAAAGCCCCACCTGTGAGCACATGAGGCTTTGGGGGACATCTGGACACAGCGATAATACTGTGTAATGCCCATTTACCATGAACTGGAAAACCAAACAAACATAAAAACGACCGTTTTCACCCTTCTACATCCACGCTTCCTTGGCGGGAAGTCACTGCCATGAGACAGGTCTCCAGAAGTTCCCACTGGGCAAGCAGGTAACTCTGTGTCTCCCAACAGCTCCCCTGTCCCTTGCACTTGCCCCCGTGACTGTCTTCTCTGCCTCTTTGAAGTAGAAGAATCTGATATTCCCTCAGTGTTTGCCTCACCTGGCTGCCCATCCTCCAGGCTCAACCGTATGGCTGGGGTTTCTTCCTTTTCAAGGCTGAATACTACTCCCTCCTGTTTGTACACCACTTCTGGCTCATCCTCTTTTTTTTTGGCTTTTTTCCGGTACCGGTAATTGAACTCACGACCTTGCGCTTGCCAGGCAGGCCCTGTGCTGCTGAGCTAAATCCCCAGCCCCTGACTCATCCTCTTATTTGAGAGTGGACATGTGGGTTGCTTCTGGGACAAGGGTAGCTATGATACAGGTGTGCCATACCCTGCTTTCAGTTATTTGAGGTAGGTACCAGAAGGGGGATGGCTCGATAGTATTGCTATTTCTATTTGAATTTGTTTGTTTGTTTTTTGAGACAGGATCTTGCTGTGTAACCCAGGCTGGCCTGGAACTCACGGCAATCCTCCTGCCTCAGCCTCCTGAGTGCTGTGGTAACATGTCTGTGCCACCACGCCTGGCTGGTTTTCAAAATTGAAAGGCCAAGAACTTTCACTGAGCAGGTACTTTGGGCCACAGCCTGTCTCACAAAGCAAGGACCACAGTCCTTGGTGGCTCAAGGTGCCCAGGCCAGCATCTGAGGCAGGTGCATAAAAAGGGAAAGCAGTGTGGGTTTGGTCCCTATACTGGGCCTGGTGGACATGGGGACCCAGTAGCATCAGGGCCAGGGAAGCAGGAACATTTCTGTGACATGATACTTTAATATCCTGGATGAATGTTGCAGAACCACAGAGAATTGCAGAGGGGCCTGCCGGAGACAGAATGCCCCAAATAAATAAAAGGCCTCCTCCATCCAGCTGTGGGAAAGTAGTCTACAATCAAAGCCTCGCTGGCCACTGAGGGTTTTCACGAGAGAAGAGTCTTAGGTGGGTGCAATGGTGCATGCCTGCAATCCCAGCACTCTGGGAGGCTGAGGCAGGAGGACTGTAAGTTCAAGCCTAAGCCTGGGTAACCTAGCAATTTAGCGAGACCCTGACTCAGAATGAAAAATGAGTAAAAAAGAGCTGGGGATGGAGCTCAGTGGGAAGACCTTGGCTTTGATTCCCAGTACTGCAGGGGCAGGGGGTACTGTGTGTTTCTTTCCCTGAAGTTAGACCCCCACTTACCTCTTGCCTTGAGGCTGGGGTGACAGGCGTGTGCCACCATGCCCAGCTTCCCTTACCATTATAAGTGGTACAGTTATATATAATTTCTTTCTTAATTATATTACCTATATGTGCATAATCATTTGATTTAATAAATATATTATTTTAATAAATATATTGTTTTCATTTTCGTTTTTTTGAGACCAAGTCTGGCTATGTAGGGCAAGCTGGCCTCACTGTGGAGGCCAGGCTGGCCTTGAACTCATGAGATCCTCCTGCCTCAGCCTCCCAAATGCTGGGATCACAGGTGTGGGACCACTCCTGGGATTCTTCTTTCATTCTCGCCAGAGACAGATCTATTTTACTACCACTGTACTTTCAAAGAAACTTCTAGTGCTATTGACTTATCTTTCTATGTAATTTTTTTTTTTTTTTTTTTGAGACAGGATCTCACTATGTAGTTCAGGCTGGTCTTGAACTCACTTTGTAGCTTAGGCTGACCTCGAACTTGCCTCAGCCTCCCAAGTGCTAGGATAACAGGCATGAGCCACTATGCCCAGCTTGACTTTCTTTCTTCTGCTTTGTTTATTTCTCTTTTGGGCTTAGCGTTGCTTTATTTTTCCTTGTAGCACTGGGTTCAAACCTAGGACATTTACACAAGCTACATCCTCAACCTTTTCTTTAACTTTTTTTTTTTTTTTTTTTGATACTGGGAATTGAACTCACAACCTTGCTCTTGCCGGGCAGGCACTGTGCCACTGAGCTATATCCCCAGCCCAGCCTTTTCCATTTTCTAATTTTGAGAAAGGTCTTGTTAAGTCATTAAATTGCCCAGGCTGGACTTGAACTTGGGGTTCAAGTTCCTGCCTTAGCCTTACGGAGTGCTGGGATAACAGGCATGTGCCTCATGCTGGGGCCTCCTGCTGGCTTCAGGTTTAGTTTGCTATGCTGAGAAGCTCTTGCTGAGTTGGTGCTCACTGGCAGGCTGTGTGTCGGTCAGCTTTCTGTGACTGTAATGTCACACCTTGGACAATAACCTTCTGAACACAGAAGGTTTATTTTGGCTCTGGGTTTGGGAAGTTCCTGTCTGCAAGGAGCTGGCCCCACTGCTCTGGGCCCATGGTGAGGCAGCTTCATGGCAAGAGTGTGTGGAAGAGCAAAATTGCTTTTCTCATGGCTGAGAAGCAGAAGAGGAAGGAGGAGCAGGAGTGGTGGCACCCCTGTCATCCCAGCACTCAGGAGGCTGAAGCAGGAGGGTCATGTTTGTTCAAGGCCAATCTGGGCTACGTAGTGAGACCCTGTGTCAAAAAACCAACAGCAACAACAAAAATGGGCCAGGTATGTAGCTCAGTGGCACAAGTGCCTGCCTGGCAAGCACAAGGTCCTGAGTTTGATTCCCAGTACCAAAAAAACAAAAAACCAAACAAAAACCAAGAAAAACAAAGAAGAGGTGAGGATACCATGATCCTCTCAAGGACGCACTTCCATTGACCTCTGGACTTCCCAGCAGGCCCTGCCCTCGCAGGAACACCGCAGGCAGGGAGTGTACCCTGTCACACATGCCGTGCTGTGGGGGATACCAGGGAAACTGAGGCAGCTGTGAATATTCTGGGAAATCCAGCTTGGGCTCTCGCCCTACCTTTTCCTTGCAGGCCAGTTCTAAGTGTGTTTAGATTTACTTCTAATTCTGCCCGGACCAAAGGATTATTTGGAAGTGTGGTTTTAAATTTAAATTTCTAGGGCTGTTGAGTGTTTTGGCTGTGTGCCTGCAATCCCAGCTATTCAGGAGGCTGAGGCAGGAGGGTGGCAAGTTTAAGGGCAGTGTGGGCCAAACAGAGACCCCCAACTTGCTGGGGATGAAGCTCAGTGCTACAGAGACCCCTGCCTCAAAGAAAAGAAAAAAGAAGAGTGCAGAGCAGGGGCTGTAGCTTAGTGACTGAGCCCTTGCCTGGCATGCATAAGGTGGGTTCCATCCCCAGCACCCCAAATAAGTAAATAAAATGTGCAAACATATGGCAAGACTTCATTTTAGTTTTGTTATTGATTTATGATTTAATTCTTTTTTTGTTTGTTTTGAGACAGGGTCTTGTTGTGTAGCCCAGGCTGGCCTGGAACTCACAGCAATCCTCTTGCCTCAGCCTCCTGAGTGCTGGGATGGCAGACTTGTGCCCTATGCCTGGTGTGATTTATGATTTTATTCTACTGCAGCTCAAGAACATGGTCTGTGTGACACCAGTTGCTTTTCTATTTGTTGAGACTTCTTTTGTGACCTCAGTCATGATGAGTTTTGGGGTTTTAATTTTTTTTTTCTGAGACAGGGTCTCCACTAGGTAACCCAGGCTGGGCCTCAAAATTGTAGTATTCCTCCTGCCTCAGCCTCCTACACACTGGGATGATAGGCCCATGCCTCCACACTGGCACTATGTAAGTTATTCAATATTGAGAAGAGACATAGGGAAAACTTCCAGCACCCTCAATCTGCCATCTTTTCAGCCCCAGGCCTGCCCCTCTGGGTGCCACCTCTGACCCCGAGCCACTGCACGGTCAAGCGCTTGCTTCTGCTCCCCTTTGGCACCCAGAATAGTGCCTGGCATCATCCCCGTACCCCACACCCTGCCCCAATCCACCCCCTATCTGTCCATCACCTCCCTGGCCATGACCCCTGGGTCTGTCTGCCCACCAGCTGTCTACTTAGCGAGGCAGAATCCGTAGGATTAATCCCTTTAAAGTGCCCAGCAGTGTCTAGGAAATTCCCATCACTCCCTGCAGTTCCAGAACTTTACCCTTCTTCCCCGCTCCAAGAGGAAGTGCTGTACCCATAAGCACTCCACTCTCTCTGCCCTGGCAACCCGACGGACTGTGTCTCTGGAGTTGCGGATTCCCTACCCTTTTCAGTGCAATCCTGTGCTGTGCTGCCTCGGGCATGTCACCTTAGCGGCGCCTGCGTGTTGCTGCATGGGCCAGCGCTCTGTCGCCCTTAGGCCCGAGTGGTACTCCATTGCATGGATGCATGCATTTTTCTTTGAAACAGGGTCTCACCATGTAGCCCAGGCTGGCCTCAAACTGGTAGCGATCCTCCTGCCTCAGCCTCCCAAGTGCTGGGGTGACAGGTGTGTGCCAGCACACCCGGTTCTGTGGGTTTCTCCCGCAAGGACCAGGTGTGGGCCCTCCTATTTGGGTGGTGGAAGGTCACCGCTGGCACCCCTTCTGCACTGCCCACGGGCTCTATGGAGCAGATTCTGGGTCAGCAAGAGGAGGCGCTAGGATGTGCGTCCTGGGGAGACTGGGTTGTGTCTGTGTCTGTGGCTTCTCCCCAGGCTCCCTTCCCAAGCACCCCCCGTAACCCGATGGAGGGAGGCGGGAGTGCGTTTTCCACAGCAGCTTTACTGAAGGGACTGAGAGCGCCCCGCCTGGGGTGGGGGGCCCAGGGCCCAGGAAAGGCACACGCGGCGGTGGGGTCTCCCTCTGGCGACACAGCGCTCCCTGGGACCCCTCTTTGGCACTGAGCTGGGAACATGGAGCCCTGGCTCCCAGAGGATGGGCAGCGCGCGCCCCCCAGTGGCGGCTGGCAGTGTAGGCTGGCAGGGTGGCGGGTGCTGGCGGGTGTTGGTGGCTGCCGGGAGCGCCTGGGCCTGGTCACCTCCCCTGCTGGCAATGGAGCCCGCCACAGACAGGGAAGCTGATACATTAGGTGGAGGAGGGCAGAAGGCCGGGGCTGCTTTCCTGTGGCTTGTCCCCCATCCCAGGGGGCTCTTGGGGACTCCCAGTGGCCAAAGGGACACTGGCACAGGACTCTGACTCCGGGCTCTGCTCGGCTGCTTCTGTGGCAGGATACCCCACGGGCCAGGGGTGGTGACAGCGATGGGGAAGTGGTGATTTGGGTCTCAGGAGGGAGGTGGCCTCTAGCTGGCGGCAGTGAGCTGGGGTCGGGGGGGCCCTGCTCCATCCGCAGGCTCGGCCCCAAGCCCTATGCCCTTCCCCAGAGCAAAGGCGGTCACAGCGGCGTAGTGCCTGGGTCCCTGGCTCTTCCAGGAAGGGAGGCTGCGGCCCTGAGCAGGAGGCACACGGGGGAGGCGAGGGCAGGCTGGGGACCTCGGCTTCCTTCACGTGGTCTGAGAGCCTGGCGCGGGGCAGGGCTGGCGGCCTGGTGGCACTCAAGGGGGAACAGCAGGCCCAGGGGTCTCGCCGAGGATGTGGCACAGCTCCTGGAGGCGCTGCTGCATCTTGGGGATGCCGGCCAGCTGCTGCTCCAGCCGCTGCCGCTCCTCCCTGAGGCTCAGGCGCGCCGCCGAGTCCAGCTTCTCGAACTTCCAGCCGCCCTCGCCGTCGAACTGCAACAGGTGCGTGTGGTACTTCCTGTGGGGACACGAGGGGACCTCAGCTGTGGCCACCCTCCCTGTCAGGGCCGCCCGTACCCCAGGGCAGGCCTCGGCCCGAGGGGCGCCTACCATAGGGAGGGCCGGTGGGTGATGGAGAGTAATGCGATGCCCGCGTCCTTGGCCGCCTGGAAGATCTTGCCTTCCACGTCGATGCTCACAGCACTGGTGCACTCGTCCAGGAGGGCGTACTTGGGCCTTGGGGTGCGGGAGGGGACAGGCTATGGGCCCGGGCCCCTCCCACCCCCTGCCCCTCCTGGCTGCCGGCAGCCCGGGCCTCACCTGTGGTAGAACATCCGGGCCATGCCAATCCGCTGCTTCTCGCCGCCCGACAGCACGTCCTTCCAGTCGCACAGGGCCTCCCAACCTGCGTGAGCAGCGAGCGCTCAACCCCAAGGCCAGGGTGTGTGTGCAGGGTGCCCACAGGGCCTGGGGAACTGAGACCCCTGGGAACATGGGCACATCTGACCCCAGAGCGGCTTGTCTAGTGGCCTGCTTCTGTTCTGTGTCCTGTCTCTCTGTCTGTGGTACTTTGATAACTGAAAAGGAGTTGGAGTTGGACGTGGTGGCACAAGCCTGTCATCCCAGCACTCAGGAGGCCGAGGCAGGAAGGCTGCACTGAGTTTGACGCCAGCCTGAACTGCATAGACCTTGTCTCGAAAGAAAGAAAGAAGAAAGGAAGAAAAAAGAAGGAAAGAAAGAAAGAAAAGAAAAGAGGGAGGGCAGTCCTGAGTGGAGGTCCCAGGATCAGAGACAGAGGGCCAGGCCAAGGGACCTGAGCAGGCCCCACTCTGCACACAGGTGGATGACAGACCTCCTCCTGCCCCCGCCCCGCCCCGAGTGGCTGCCTCTGGGACAGGAGTGGTGGCGTGGGACCTGGTCTGCCCTCTATACTCGAAGGAGGCAGAGGGAAGGGCTCTGCCCAAGGCCATCTTGTCCCTAGCAGGGGCAGCAGAAGCAAAGGCCTGGTATCCACACTCCCCCGAGGGACAGGGAATGAGGAACGAGGACCCCCAAAGCGCCAGACAGCATCACGTCCTAGCCCCTGGCCTGCTGCAAGTCTGGCTGACCTGTCACCTCTCTGCCTGAGCCCTCTCAAGGCCACACTCTGGCCTGCTGTCTCCGGCTCACAAGCGGCGTGACCGCTCAGACTTGCAGGTCTCAGCTCAGAGCTGTCTTTGCTGAGAGAGGGTGGGGTGGTGGTGGGGCTGCCAGTGGGACGAGTACCCTGAAGGAAGTCCCCTGCCTGCAGTCTCTGGACACCTGGGGCCACTGCGTGTGCTGGGCTGGGGACACACCTCCCTCCCGCTGTAGGATGTGGTTCAGGTGCACGATGTCCAGGATGGCTTCCAGCTGCTGCTCTGAGCAACCCTTGCGGCGCATGTCTTCCACCGAGTCCGGGTAGATGACCTGGTCGCGCAGCGAGCCCACGGACATGTAGGGCCTGCAGGGAGCAGGTGGGGACCGTCAGCTCGAGCTCCAGCTGCCGAAGGGCCTCTCAGGTGATGGACACACACACTGTCCATGCCCCCGCATGTGACGCGTGCAAGCACACCTGTGTGCACACACAGCACGGGTGCACCCCGCCAACAGCCCCCAGCTCCGCAGTGCAGCTGGGATAGCAGCTCTCCGAAGCCCGGGGGGAGCAGGCGGGGAAGAGCGCGCCTCACCTCTGCGGGATGTAGAACATGCGCTGCGGCGGGGGCTTGTAGAGGACGCCACCATACGTGGGCCACAACCCACCCAGGATCCTGAAGAGCGAGCTCTTGCCGCAGCCGTTGGGGCCTGTGATGAGCAGGTGCATGCCCTCTTCCACCTGCAGAAGGGCAGAGCCATCGGCGGGTGTTGGTTTTTACATTAATTAATTTATTTTTGTTTTTTTTGAGATAGGTCTCACTATACAGTCCTGGCTGGCCTTGAACTCTGTATGGAGCCCAGGCTGGCATGGAACTCATAGTGATCCTCCTGCCTCAGCCTCCCAAGTGCTGGGATGACAGGCGTGCGCCACCACGCCTAGCTTGGATCTTTTGGCAAAGGACGGCAGGCCACAGGGACGGGTCCTGTGCCTGGAGTCCCAGCTGCACGCCTGTCCCAGGAGGCAGGCGAATGGATGTGAGCTGGCCCCAACCCTAAGGCCTGACATGTCCAGACAACACAGGGCAGGCACAGGAGGAAGGGACAGGCATGTCCCAAGGCATGCAGCGCCCCCGGGCCTGCTCACCTCCCGTGCCACCGAGACCCACCACAGCCCAGGAGGCTAGCTCCTTCAGCGCCTGTGCCCAGTGTCTGGGGGCAGAGGTTGCCCAGCACCGCCAGCGCCAGTGTCCTTCGGCCCTTCCCTCTTTATCTGTGAAAGCCAGATAGCGACACTGGGCGCGGGGCTCCTGGCAAGGGCCTTTGTTCACGCCAGGCAGTGACATGGGTCAAACTGTCCCCCAAGTTCATACATTGGAGTTTTAAGGCTGAGTTGCTCAGGGTGTGACCCTATTTGGAAATGGGATCACCACAGATGTAACTGTTAAAATATCTCAAAGTGATACTGGTACCGTTCCTCATGCAACACGATCAGTGTCCCTAGAAAAAGGGGAGCTTTAGCTGGGTGTGGTGGTACAAAGCTGTCATCGCAGCACTCTGGGAGGCTGAGGCAGGAGGGCCTTAAGTTTGAGCCCAGCCAGGGCCACTTAGTGACTTAGTGAGACCCTGTCTCAAAATAAAACTACAGAGCGCTGGAGGCGGAGCTCAGTGCGGGAGACCCTGGGTTCATTCCCAGCACTGCAGCAACGACGACGACAACGACGATGACAACCACAAAAGGAGGGAAGACTTCGCACACAGAGAGAGAATGTGACATGAGGACAGAGGTGAGGCCACACCATGGACGCCACGGATCTCCAAGGGTCACCAGCAACAGTGAGGGCAGGGTCCCCTGCTTTATCTCTGGGTTCCTGCACCTACCCAGCCCAGAGTTCAAAGTATACGGGATAGGGTGGCACATGCTTGTCTGTCATCTCAGTACTCAGTACTTTGGAGGCTGATGCAGGAGGATTGTTGCAAGTTCGAGGCCAGCCTAGGCTACATAGTGACTTTAAGGCCAGTCTGAACTACATAGTAAGACTCCGTCTCAAAGACAAAAAAACAAAGTCAGGCGTGGTGACGCACGCCTGTGATCCCAGCACACGGGTGGCTGAGGCAGCAGGATCACCATGAATGCGAGGCCAGCCTGAACTACACAACGAGACCTTGTCTCAAAAAACTAAAAAAATGAAACAAACAAACAGCCCCCTGGAAAAAAAACTACTTTCTACAAAATTGTTTCCTTAAAGTGCAGGCAGCCCTGGGTGCACTCTGCGTGTCCGGCCAGACCTCTGCACTAAGGCACACCCTGCTCTAGGCCCATCTCTCAGCGAGCACTACAGTGCTGCCTTGCTTTCTCTCCACAAGTCCTTTAGCTGCTCTGCCGTAGCCTGCTGCTCTGGCCTGGCATTTCCAGTCCCCAGCTGCAGTGCAGTCCCCCTTGTCCGCCGCTCAGCCCCACCCCAGGCGTGGCCAGGGAGCGCCTGGCGATCTCTCTCCTTGCCCCCGCAGGGCTGGGAAAGCTCCCAGGGACAGCTGTGTCCGCCACAGACCCTGTGCTGGGCTGCCCATGGTGGACGCACAGAGCTTTGGGCTGGACACTAGAGGGGCTCAGGTGGGGATGGTGGCAGGGGCATCGCCTGCAGCTGCAGAGGGACCACATCCCAGCTCTGACCCTCTCCTGAGGCTGGGAGGCGGTAGTGACGGGGCTGGCAGACGTGCGTAACCCTTGGCCAGTCCTGGTGACCGCGAGCCTCTTCGTCAGCCCTGACTATTGTCCCAGCATACACGGTCAGGGACACGTCGTCTCTCCCCCTTCGACCTTATCCCATCTGCCACGCAGATCTGGGGACAAGGGCTATTGCCAGCAGGGCCAGGTGAGAAGCCAAGGACTAGGCTTGGAGATGCAGGTGTCTCCCCAGGCGCGTGGGCCCCACCCCGCCCCACCCTGCCTACCCGGATGTTGAGGCTGGCCACCACCACCTCTCCTGTGGGCGTGATGATGGGGATGTTCTCGCAGATGATGCCCTGCTCCACGTCTACCACCTGGCCTGCGGGGGGCGGGAGGCGAGGCGGGGTGAGGCGCAGCGTCCATGGACTCCAGGAGCCCTGGAAAACAGCTTGGCCTCCAGGAGCTGAGCCCAGTGTCCTGAGCTGCTCCACTTGTCCTCTGGGACGTGAGCCCAGAGTCTACTGCTCGGCAGCCCTCCCACCTGGCCCTATCTTCAACCTGGGTGAGGAGGCACAAAGCCTGTCATCCTAGCCCTTGGGAGGCTGAGGCAGGAGGACTGCCCTGAGTGCCAGGCCAGGCTGAACGAACGTCATGAGACTTTGTCTCGAAAAACAAAAACAAAGGCAGCTCCCATGCCAGGCCCATCTGCCTTCCTCAGCTGGCCGGACTCCTCCCCTGGGGCTGGCCTCCGGTCCTCAGTGACGGACTGGGCAGCAAGCAGAGCCACCTACCTTGTATGCGCAGGGGCCCCTCCATGCGGACACCGGAGCGCGCCACGGCCCCTGCCCCTGCCTGGGTGTCCTCCAGCTCCCCTGGCCGCTTGAAGCGACAGTGCTGGACGTCTTCAAACACCTGGAACATCTCATGCACACGCGCCGTGTAGCCGGCCAGCTCTGTCACCTCTTTGTAGGATGACATGATCCGCTCGGTGGCGTCGGCTGCGGCTGTGAGCAGGTTGCGTGCGATGGTGAAGGCCTCTGTGCGCTCGCTCACCAGCTCCTCCTCCCTCATCTCCAAGGCAGCCCTCTTCGTGGCCTCCGAGTCTGCACGGGAAGAGAGGAGGTCACAGAGGGCAACACTGAAGAGAATACCTGGCCTGCCTCCAGCCATCGAGGGGAGGCGACCCTTGTCTTACCCCGGTCACAATGGCTAACACCAAGAACACAAAATCTGCACACCTGCTATCTCAGCACCTGGAAGGCTGAGGCAGGAGGATTTCCACAAGTTCCAGGCCAGCCTAGGCTACATAGTGAGTTCCAGGCTAGCCTGCACTACGCAGCAAGACCCTGTCTCAAAAAACCACACACAAACACACACAAAACACAAAAAACAACAAGTGCACACAAAACAAATCCTCACAAGGCTGTGGGGAAAAAGGAACCCTTGTCCACTGCTGGTGGGAGTGTAGACTAGGGCAGCCACTGTGGAGATTCCTCAAAAACCCAAAACTAGAGGTCCCACTCGACCCAGCTACTCCCCTTCTAGGTTTCTTCCCAAAAGATGAAAGCCATCCTACCACAGTGGCCCGTGCACACCCATGTTTCTAGCAGCACAATTCAGAACTGCTAAACCTTGGAAGCAGCCTGTGTGTCCATCAGCAGATGCACGGAGAAAGACAATGTGTTTACACAGGACGGAGAAGCGCTCTGCATAAGGAAGGGTAAGTTTGAGTCATTGGTAGGAGCACGGATGCGCCTTCAGCCCATACTGCTAAGTGAAATAAGTCAGACGCAGGAGGTTAATTATCACAGGGGTTCTTCTGTACGAGAAACCTAACACACAAATAAAATAAAAAGGAAAATAAAGGAGAGAGGGTAGGATAGGTGCCAGTCTTTTCTGAAATTTCCATAATGTGAAATGGTGATCTAGTCCAAGGGAAACCAAGGGCCTGACACAGGGATTAAAAAGAGAGCAATACAAATAATCCTTAATTGTCAGCCCTTAATGGCTTGTTCCTTTAGTACATTTTATTTTATTTTTTAATTAATTAATTAATGTTGGTCTTTTTGAGACAGAATCTCACTGTGTAGTTCAGACGGGCCTTGATCTCACTATGTAGCCCAGGCTTGCCTCAAACTGTCAGTGATCTTCCTGCCTCAGCCTCCCAAGTGCTGGGATGACAGGTGCACACCACCACACTTCGCAAGTCCTGCGAGTCTTTTCTGTGAGGAGGCAAGAACCCCCCAGGGGTGAGGTGAGGTCCCCCTGTCCTCTTTGGTGGACCTCCTTAAAGCCCATCCAGTGACAACATCAATCACAAAATGAACTCCAAAGGGGCTTCCAGCTCAATGTGCAAAAAGTAAAACTGTAGCAGTCTTGGAAGAAAACAGGGCCAAGCTCTCAGACTTCTGATATGGCAACAGCACTGGGAAGTCTTAAAGAATTGCATTTCAGCCCAGCGTGGTGGCGCACGCCCGTAATCCCAGCACTCGAGAGCCTGAGGCAGGAGGATCATTGTGAGTTGGAGACCAGCCTGGGCTACAGAGTGAGCTCAAGGCCAGCCTGAACTGCATAGCGAGACCCTGTCTCAAAAAAAAAAAAAAAAAAAAAAAAAAAAAGAATCGCACTTCATCGAGCCTCAACACTTTGGGGTCCCAAAGGACATCTAAGGGAAGGGTAGACGAGTAGTAGCTAGCACACACATAGGCCTTCCTGACTCTGAGAGAAACAGATGTGCATCCCAATCCAGCAGTGGTACATAGTCAGGACAGACCCTTGACAAGAAGAGATACAGCCGGGCATGGTGGCGCACACTGGTGATCCCAGCACTTGGGAGGCTGACGCAGGAGCATCTCTGTGAGTTCTAGGCCAGCCTGGGCTACACAGCAGGATCCTATCTCAAAAAATTAAAAAACAAGAACAACCAAAATCAAATGGCCAATAAACTCATGAACAGATGCTGAACATCATCAGTCACCAGGGAAATGCAAATCAATCCCTCAATCGATGGAGAGCAAGGGACCCACAGCTACGGGGACAAAAGGGCACAGCTGCTCAGAGGGAAGCCTGGTGGCTCCTCACAGGGTCAGCACCAAGCAACACAGGCCTGCAATTCCTCCCGAGACACACACCTGGGGGCGTGTGAAACCTCCCCCAGCCTCCAGTGAGACTGTCCGCCACAGCCCAGAGGGTCAACGGCCACCGCATGCCCCCAACGGAAAGATGGATGGGTAAAGACGGGGACGGACGGACGGATGGGTGGAGAGTGGATAGCTAACAACCAGAGATGGATGGATGGACGGATGGGCAAAGACGGGAGTGGGTGGATGAAGACCGGGGACGGGGGGCTGGATAGGGACCGCGGCGGGGCGTGGTGGGCGGTATGTGTGGCATACGACTGAGCTCCACACAGGGTGGAAGTCTCTTCCACCTGGAAAGCAAGGTGCCTGGACATGATTATGCTTGCGCAGTGGGAGAGGCGAGGCACCAAGGGCACATCCCTCTGAGACGTCTCCTTGACACAAAAGCAGACACAGAAAGGACGTCAGTGACTGCCAGTGCCGGGCCAGGGGGAACTGGGAAGAGAGCCACAACGGCTCTGCAGTTTCTTTTTGGGGTGTAAAAATGTTCTACCTGAAGTGAGGGTCTGTAATCCCAGCACTCGGGAGGCTGAGGCAGGAGAACTCTGATGTCTGAGTTCAAGGCCAGCTTGGCCTACATAGCAAGCCGTTGCCTCAAAAAAAAAAAAAAAAAAAATGGAACTCACTGTACCCTGCAGGTGCCCTTGGGACCTGGCTGTGCTGTCTATGCCATCCCCTGGCCCTGCAGCGGGCAGGCCAGCAAAGCCAAGGTTCCAAAACTGCCCCAGTGGGCAGCACTGCCTCTTCCTGCCTGCTCCCTGGCAGTATAGGAGCCCTCACTCCCCAGGTCTTGGGGCACAGCAGGTACAGGGCAGCCCAGCTCACAGAGGAAGGAGGGCAGAGAGGTGAGCAAGGGAGGCAGAGAGAGGTGTGGTGGGCCAGGAAGGACAGTGAGGAAAGCACATTCAGGGCAGAGCATACCACACATGCAAAGGCCCTGTGGCCAGAGCTGCCTGGCGTTTGTGGTTTGTGGGAGCCGCACAGTCAGCCCCTCCTCTTGGAGGTCACGGGAAAGAAAGGCAGACAGTTTGTAATCCCAGCGACTTGGGAGGCTGAGGCAAGAGGATTGCTAGATGGAGGGCAGCCTGGACAACTCAATGAGACCCCATCTCGAAATAAAAAATATAAAAGGCTGAGAATGTAGCTCAGTGCAAAGGCCCTGGGTTCAATCTCCAGTACTGAAATTAAAAAAAAAAAAAAAAGGAATTATGTGCCTGGGTCGAAATGAGTACCACAGGGAAAAGCCCCACCGCGTGGAGGGCTGCAGGCAGAAGAACCTCAGGTAACGGGAGATCTGTGTGGTGAGTGGAGACTGTGGAGTAAGTGGGGCTGGGGTGATGAGAGAATCAAATAGAACTTACAGAAATAGTCACTGCAGTGTAAAAATAAATTCAAGAGCCAGGTGTGGTAGCACGTGCCTGTCATCCTAACACTCAGGAGATTGAGGCAGGAGGATCGCCATGAGTTTGATGTCAGCCTAGGCTACATAGTGAGACCCTGTCTCAAAAACAAAACAGAACAAAACACAAAAAAATTCACATTCGAGGTGGCTGAACATTGGCAAACAGCACAATTAGTGAATGGGCGGGATACTAGCACACTAATACTCCTCAGCAGAATATTGGGAAGACACACAAATCTCAACAGGACATACATGGGGCTGGGGATTTAGCTCAGCAGCAAAGTGCCTGCCTGGCAAGTGCAAGGTGGTGAGTTTAATTCCTGGTACCGGAAGAAAAGATAAAAAAAAAAAAATCACCAGGACACACAGAACACAGCCTCAACATTGTAGCAAAACTGCAGGCTGCCAAGAAGGCAGACGGGAAAGGCACCCAGGGGAAGAATCAAGATGATAAGACTTGCACAGCTAGGGCAGGAGTCATAAGACAATGGAGTACTGTCTCAGGGATGACAGAAATTGGCCATCCACCTCCAGTCCTACCCCAACTCAACTTCTCCCCGACCGCCCGCGGGAGAGGGTTTTGCTATGTAGTAGAGGCTGGCCTTGAACTCACAGAGATCCTCCTGCCTCAGCCTTTCAAGTGCTGAGATCACAGGCGTGCACCACATGCCAGACTCTCAACCTAACATTAGCTCGGGAATTGAGGTGAAGTAACAATATTTTTCAACAACAAAATAATTGAGAGTATCCTATGACAAAACCCCTGAATGTCGTTTGTCTGGAAGAAGAAAATGGGACACAGGGAGGACCGAGGTGTAAGGATAGGGCTCCGAGCAGGGAAACCATACACACACAGGTGGGTTTACACACTCAGCCACTGGATTAAAGCAACAGCTAAGGATAAAAATCACACAAAGCCGGGCATGGCGGTACATGCCTGTCATCCTAGAATCTGGGAGGCTGAGGCAGGAGGATCACCATGAGTTCAAGGCCAGCTTGGGCTACATAGCAAGACCCTCCCTGTTTCAAAGGGGAGAAAAATTCACGTGAATCAGATGTGGTGAGTGTCTGGAATTTCCGCATTCTGAAAGGCTGAGGTAGGAGGACTGCTCGAGCCCAGCTTGGGCAGCTTTGTGACTTAGCAAGATACTGTCTCAACAGCTAGCTAGCTGGGTATGGTGGTGCATGGCTGGAATCCGAGCAGTCTGGGAGGCTGAGGCAGCAGGATCACAAGTAGGCAACATAGTGACTCAGGCAAGCAAGACCCTGTCTCAAAAAGATAAAAAATAATAGGTCCAGGGATATATCTCAGCAGTACAAGCACCTGCCTGGCAAGCGCAAGGTCCTGAGTTTGATTCTCGGTACCAATACATAAATAAATAAATAAACAAATAAGTTAATAAACAGGGCTGGGGGCTGGGGGCTGGGGAGATAGCTCAGCAGCACAGTGCCTGCCCGGCAAGTGCAAGGTCCTGTGTTTGATTCCTGGCACCAAAATAAATAAATAAATGAATAGGGCTGGGGATATAGCTCAGCACAATGGCCCCAGATGTAATTCTTAGTACTGCAAAAATAAACAAATAAAATAAATAAAAACCATGCACTGGGCATAGTGGCGCATGCCTGTAATCCCAGCGCTTGGGAGGCTGAGGCAGGAGGATTGCCATGTGTTCAAGGCCAGCCTGGGCTACACACTGAGTTCAAGGCCAGTATGAACTGTATTATGAAACCCTGCCTCAAAAAGACAAAAAATAAATAAATAAAACCACGCAAAAGCCTGAAAGATAGGGCTGGGGATTTAGCTCAGTGGCACAGTGCCTGCCTGGCAAGCGCAAGGTCGTGAGTTCGATTCCCGGTACAGGAAAAAAAAAAGCCTGAAAGACATGCACAGTAAGGCCCAGGAGAAGGGCAGCTATCGGTCTTTAAGAACGCACACTGACCTTCATCACAAGGGTGACCACAGAAAGACTGGAAATGGACCGAAATAAACCAGTGGTGGAACAAATGGCAACAAAGGGGAGCCTACTGTCCCTAAATAATGGGTAGGACTGGCCTCACCTCCCACCACAGGCCTGAGGGTGGAAAGGCAAGGTGAGGCAGTGAAAGGCTCACCCTGAGGCTCCGCACATCCTCCCATGACAAAGCAACTGTCAGGCAGAGGACGGGGACCAGAGGGAAGGCTACCCACTTTCACTTCCGGTAATGCCAAGGACACCATTTCCAGTAACGTCAAGGCCTTCGGGGAATGTCAAGGATGTCCGCAGGCGGGAAGCACTCTCACCTGACTCTGAGTAGCCGGTGGCAGTGATGATGGGGACAGCCACCATGAGCAGGCCAGAGGCGCTCCACACATACTTCATGAGGAACTGCTCGAGCATGACATACCACAGGCGCTCCAGCAGGATGACGTTGATCTGTGCCGCCAGGGCCCGGTAGCAGTCCCGCAGCAGCGCCAGCTCCACCTGCCCAAGGAAGGGAGGGCGACACATACTGCTCATGCCTGCTGTGCCATCGGACGACCAGGAGGGGTTACAACTGGGGAAGGCTCCTGTCTCTGTTCCCGCTACTTCTCTAACGGGGATGATCATCATCCCCCGACTTTTTTTTGAACGAGTGTTGCTATGTAGCTCAGGCTGGCCTTGGACTCACTGTGTAGCCCAGGGATGATCATCATCCCCCGACTTTTTTTTGAACGAGTGTTGCTATGTAGCTCAGGCTGGCCTTGGACTCACTGTGTAGCCCAGGGATGATCATCATCCCCCGACTTTTTTTTGAACGAGTGTTGCTATGTAGCTCAGGCTGGCCTTGGACTCACTGTGTAGCCCAGGCTGGCCTGGAACTTGACGTGATCCTCCTGCTTCAGCATCCAGAGTGCTCAGATGACAGGTGCATGCCACTACACCCAGCATACTGCCCCCCTCTTTGTACCCTGGCAGCTTCTGGATGCAGGCTCAGGGCAGTCACCTTTTTGTTCCTGCTGAGCCTATGTTAGTGGGCTCTCTCTGGGCCCTGCTCCTGCCCCTGCTCTCAGGCTGAGTCCACTCCGTGACTCCTCAGCACTTGTGTACCTTGCACTACACAAAGGGTGGCAGGGAGAGCAGAAGGCAACGTCCCCAGTCTGTCTGCCCAGGCCCAACCTCCTGCTGCTTTCTCAGGACTGCTGTCCGTAGGAAGCTCGAATTGCATCTTCCCACAGAAGCTAGGAATCCCCTTCAGCACCACACAGGCCTTCCCAGGCCTGGCCACCACCTGCCGTGCTGGAAGGGGACAGGTGTCTCTGTGGGGAGGAGGGGCAGCAGCGGTCAGACAGGCAGGAGAGGCCAGAGGTGTGGGAAGTGCTCGTAGCACGGTGGCTGTGGGCTCCGGGGGTTGCTCCACACCCACCTAGTGCCAGCTGCCAGCCCAGCACTGTTTGTCACTCTCATCTCCTCGGGAGGACACTTGAGCCTAGAGACAGAGGGTGACCTGCCCAAGCTTGCACCGCTGCCTAGAGGCAGCGAGTGCGGCAGGAATGTAGGCTGCACTGGCGGGGCTGCTGCCGGATCATTATAAAGGTTGCTTTGACTGACTAAGAAAGGGTTACTTTGTTCTCAGCGAGAGGTTGTGTGCACGTGTGGATTTCAATAAGCAGCCTGGCCAGGTGCCGTGGTGCCTGCCTGTCATCTCAGAGGCTGGGGCAGGAGACTACTGAGAGTTTGGGACCAGCCTGGACTAGGTAGTGAGTTCAAGGCCAGCCTGGACTACATGGCAAACCCTGTCTCAAAAAACCAACCAAACAAGCAGCCTCCGAATTCCTACAGAGAAGAGACTACTCCACTGTCTGCCCTAACCTATTGGTCTGTGCCCAGGCTGGTGTCCATGAGGACATCTGCCACTATACATGCCTGTACAGCAAGGGCTATTAAGCCACCTGCGGGGGCTGTCACCCCCCAAGGGAGACACAGTCAGGCCCAGGATGTACCTGGGCCTTCTGCCCTGGCAATCGAGGTCTCTGGGCGAACTACTATTTCCCACAGCTGGCCCAAGGAAGTCCTCTGAGAACCTCTACTCTCTTGTGCCCCTGGCACCTAGCTGTGCTGGCACAGTGGGCTTTGCCCAGGCCCAGGCTCCTGCTCCTGAAGTGAGCGCATCCCCTATGAGCATCCGAAGAGCTGGGCTCGTGCTGGGAGCGGCAGGAGTGCCAGCCAAGCCTGTGATGTAGCTGCGTGGGGACCGTGCCAAGTGTCTTGCCCGAGGTCACAGCCGCCTGCCAAGCCCTGCAGCCCGGGTGGAAGAGAGCGGCAAAGGGGCACAGCCTAGGGCCACACTTTTCCTCCTAATTTGAAACCTGGCTCTGCCCCAGATGTCTTTTTCTGTGCTCAGGGATAAGCCTTGCATTAAAAAAAATCAGGCAAGCCTGCTTCTCCACGGCACAAGGTCCCTCGGGTGCGAGGCTCCCAGCCAGGGAACACACAGGCCTTGGGAGCTGGGAGCTGGGAGCTGGGAGCTGGGAGCTGGCCGCCATGGGCCCCTCCCCCCAGCATTCGGGGAACTGAAACTGGAGTGCGAGCGGAGCCCGAGGCAGCTGCGGCCCCAGGCACGAGGAAGAGGTGGGGCAGCAGCTAGATAAAGGCGCACGGCCCGGGGTAACCTCCCCAGTGCCTGCCTGCTTGGCCCCAGCGCACCCCGGAGCTGTGTGCACTGCCGGGGCGGAAGGGCGGCCACGCTGGGGGTAGGGCGGCCGCGGGGTGGGCAGGAAGTGTGTCCCAAAGCAGTGGCGGCTGGGCCTGGGCAGCCTCGGCTCAGGACCTCAGGGAGGCAGCTCCGCCGGTTGGCAGCCAGTTAGGCCCAGGGCTCTGGCAGCCTTGACCCTGAGTGCTGCCGCCACCCTGGCCCCTGAGCCGGGCGCTGCTCATTAACCTCCGCTTGGGCTGAGTCACGCCTATAATGCCCGCCTGCTCAGCCGGCCAGCTGTGCTGGATGCTGGCCTTCAAAGGCCCAGGGACGCAGCAGAGGCTGGGTAGCAGGCTGGGGCCGGCAGCCCTGCTCCCAGCTGGCAGGAGCTCTGGCTGGTTGAGCCAGAGCACAGAAGCAGAAGTGACCTGGAGCACAGGGCAGCCTACACATGACAGCTCCAGCCCAGCTGGGCCACTTCTCCATTCCCACTCCCCCCCACCCCCAGCCTTCGAACCCCTCCAGCCTCAGCCTCTCGGGACCCTGGCCTGCCCCACCTCGTGGCCCCCATAGAAGGCGATCTCCTCCGAGTTGGCCACCACTCGAGAGTGCATGTAGCGGAGCTCCCCCTTCCGTCGTGCCTCCTCGGCCACCAGCTCCCCGAACTTGGGTGAGAAGGCCCGCAGCACGTTGGCTGTGAGGAACACCACAAGGCCGGCGATGGCCGAGGGCCAGGCTGTGCCGGCCCCTCGGGAGCGCGCTGCCCTGATGAGAGTGTAGGAGGTCACGGCCACATCCAGCAGCGGCTTGGTCAGGTTGGAGTAGAGGTGGGCCACGGAGGCGGCGAAGGCCACCAGGTCCTCAGTCAAAGACTGGTCGGGGTTGCGAAGCCGCCCGTCCATGTTGCTCACGCGGTAGTAGGTCTGCTGGGAGAAGTAGAGGCTGTAGGCATGGGCCACCAGACGGCTGCGAAAGGACAGGGCTAGCTGGCCCTCCAGGTAGCGGATGGCGCTGTTGACGAAGGTGGCGGGCAGCGCAATGAGCAACCACTGCAGGAGCTGCCATCCGAAGGCTCGAGGGTCCTTGCGCACGATGCAGCGGGCCAGCCGGCCGTCCAGGCGGGCCACGTACACAGAGAGGAAGGTCCGGCTTACCAGCGCCGCCGAGTGCAGTGCCAGCAGTCCGGTCTCCCGGCACAGGACCCTGGGGAACAGCAGCCGCAGGAGCACCAGGAGCCGCCGCAGGAACACCCGGTTCATGCCAGCCTTGGCCGCAGTGGACCCCAGGGCCTCCTGTGGGGGCTCCCCGGCTGGGCCCTGAGGACCCCTGGCCGGGGCTAGGCACTGACGCACCAGAGGGTAGAGTTTGTGGGCTCCATAGGCTGTGAGTGCCAGGACCATCGCTGTGCGCCTCAGTGTGGTCACCCGCGAGGGCCGTGGGGTGGAGAGCACCGGCATGTCACCTGGTGTCCAAGGCAGCAGCAGCAGCAGCAGCAGCAGCGGAGACAGGTGCTAGAAGAGCTGTTGCTCTGAGCCGGGGCTCGTTGTCTAGGCAACTGGAAACCTTGCAGTGGTCCCTGAGACTGTCGCTTTAGGCCCCTGGGGTGGTGACAGGAGACTTGGTTCGGTGGCCTCAGGATCCTCCAGGGTCGTGGCCTCTTCAGGCAGCCCAGCTGCAGGAGCTTGGCTTCTCTGTCCCCGAGCCCCTGAGGTCTGAGCCTCCAGAGGTCTCGGGCAGAGAGGGCGTTCTTCCCTCCTCCTCCTCCTCCTCCCCCCCCGTGGCGCCCCTCCCGGGGCACCGGGCGCGTCCCTCCCGCAGCCTAGCTCAAGCGACAGTGACTCCTACACTGGGCCTAGAATCCCCACCCCCCCCTCCACGAGGGGGCGAGCCAGGGAAGGGGAGGAGGCGGAGGAGGGGCGGGAGGCGGAGTCCCGGCACCGGGCGCCCCACCCCGTTCTTATGCCTTGGACGGTCCCGCCCCACCCCCAACCACAGAGACGAGGGACCAGCACGCGGGATAGAGAAGCAGCTCTCGCCTTCCCGCCAAGGCTCCGCCCCATCCCGCCCCTGGGCCTCGGGAGCGCTGGAGACGCCGCCGAGGGCCGCGCCTCGCTCCCTCCCAGGCGCTAGGTGCTCGGCCCATTGGCTCGGGGGCGGGGCGGAAGCGGCCCTGGGCGGAGCCGCCAGGGCCTCGCGAGGGTTGGTGGGCGGGGTCCGGCGGGAGCTTCCGGTTTCCGGCCGCGGGGTAAGGGGTGGGGCAGGGGCTGTAGTGGGAGAGTTTGGTGTCTGCGGCTGGGCGTGCGCGTTGACTGTGAGAACCTTGGTGAGCGGGGTCCTTGCGCCAGCCTGGGGCCCGGAGCCGCCGAGGCCGCCTGGGCCGCTGGCCATAGATCTTTTCTTGGCCGCTCGCCTGAGAAGGGGAGCGAGCATTGCGGAGGGAACGGGGCTCTGAGGAGTCTCTTGGCTCAGGGCCGACGGGCGAGTGCGGGCCAGGCGGGGCCAGACGGAGGGAAGTAGGGGTGGCGGCGGCGGAGTTGGGGGCAGCCGTGCGCGGGGCGGCCGCGGGGACAAGGGCGGAGACCTTGGTGAAGCGGCACCCGGAGGCGCGGCGGCGTGAGCCCCGGGAGAGGGCATGCCGAGCCGCTGCCACTGGGGTCCCCTGGTACCTCGCGGGTGGCCCTTGAGCTGGGTGGCGCGGTGATCTGCTGGGGCTGCCGCGAGGGCTTGCAGTGGTTTCGGAGAAGACCCGCTGTTTCGAGAACTTTCTCAGGACGAGGCCTGGAGGTGCTTAGTGCAGACCTGCATTTGCTCTTGGTCCCTGCTCCTGCCCTCTAGGAGTCGCTCTTGTGGGCAGCTGGAAGGCACCCGAGGCCTCTGGCCCCATCAGAGGCCAGAGGAGCAATCGTTAGGTTTTTCATTCCCGAAAACAGCTGCAGAGGAAGCTGCTGAGTTCTTTGTGCCCACTATAAGGGCTGCGAAGGGGCAGTGATCGGGGACGGTGGTCTCTGAAACCCTGTGTCTCCAGGGCTGCTGCAGCAGGACTTTGCGAAGCGCCCAGCTTCTGCAGTAGAGCATGCTTGCCTGGGCTGGGAGCCTGAGGGTGCTCATGTGCTTTTTTTTCTGTGCAAGACGCCTTCTTACTCAAACAGGCTTTCGGAGTCTCCTGGACTCCCCAAGGAAAGAAAGTATCAACAGAGTGGCTCTAGATGTGTTCACACACCCGACGGAGAGGGCCGAGTGACTATTTCAGCAAATAGAAGCCTGGGGATTGTTGGCCAAGTATCCCAGCTCGGTGCAGCCCTCTTTGAGCCAGGGCATTGGGGGGGGGTCTAGGGTGACCCCAGCTTCCTGGGTTGCTGAGACTGGCTGCTCAGCCCTCATGGCCCTCCTGCACCCTCTGTACCTTGCCAGGAACGAAGCTCACAACTCTGCCGTGGAAACCTGCTCGTCACAGAATGAGTCTGCAGTGGACTGCAGTTGCCACCTTCCTTTATGCAGAGGTCTTCGCGGTGTTGCTCCTCTGCATTCCCTTCATTTCGCCCAGAAGGTACAGCATGGAGCGAGTAGGGGAGGAGTGGGAGGGTGCTGGCCCCGGATCTTTGTAGCGTGTGTGTGTGTGTGTGTGTGTGTGTGTGTGTGTGTGTGTGTAGAGCCAGGGCACCCTGGAACTGGGGCCAGCTGGAAACAGGTAGAACCTGTCCAAGAGCGGGGGTGGCAGGGGCTGAGTTCCTCTCCTGTGCATCCTGTCTTCTGGTCTCCAGAATGGCCTGAAAGGAATGTGCCACACTGTTCTGGAGGCCATGCCCTCCTGCCTAGCCATGGGCACCCTAAGCTGCATGGGATGGGATGGCCTTGGGCCGTGAACACTTGCACCACAGGGTGACATTGTTGCTGCTTGGTTGACTTCTGTCCTCCTTACCAGCCTCCAAGGCATTGCGCAGTAGCCTCGTGAGCATTACTCAGCCTAGAAGGATAGATCAGAGGACCTGGTAAAAGTTAATAGATTAATTTTTTAATTATACATAGATATACGTTATTCCTGTTTAAACTGGAGTGTTACAGATGAGGCTAAATCGCCACACATGTATTTAAGAACGTTTTAAATGAAAAACACAGACCCCTAAGGAGTAGTTTTGTGGAACAGTCAGTTTGCCTGTGGTTCACAGGAAAGGCAGAGCCAGCCCTGTGGAGCTTGGTGGGAAAACAACCTCGTTCCTGCACGAAGTTAGTTGGAAAAGAAAACAAACGGGAGAGGAAGGGGGAGCAAAAGAATAAGACAGACTGGGGACACAAACTAGATGGCAAGTCAGATGGTGGGGATTGGCCAACCAGTAGTTGCCAAATGTAACGATCGGGCTCTCCAGCTGTGTCTCTGGAGGTAAGGCTGCCTTGCTGATTTCCCAATGTGAGAATGCTTCTGAAGGCTCTTCTTGGGGCGCGCATTCTGAGGTGTCTATGGATAGAAACGCTGGGAGGTCCCTTACAGTAGCCCAGGGTGGTGGAGGACTAGATAGCAAAAGGTACGTTGTATAGAAGGACGATTCAAAGAAATAGTCTGTGTATGTGGTGAACACTTTGAATACCACAAAGGGAGAACAACAGAGTTGCCCCTCACCACTGTTTCCTCCAGTTTCTATACACAGATGGGCTCCTTTTTCTGACATGCTTTGCCACAGGCGCTGTAAATTGTAGAATCAGCAGCAGCCAGCCGAGGCCGACTCTGTGGGCTCCTTGGCCACTGGCAAAGGGTCCCGAGCTGGCTCTCCATTCTGCTCGGAGCCGGCCTCCCAGGTAACTGCCAATATAGCCTCTCTGCCTTTCATCTCCTTCCTAGATGGCAGAAGATTTTCAAGTCCCGCCTGGTGGAGCTGGTGGTGAGCTATGGCAATACCTTCTTTGTGGTTCTCATTGTCATCCTGGTGTTGCTGCTCCTCGGTGAGTAACCCAGACCCACGCTGTGCCGTGGGGTCCCTGCTGCAAAGCTCTGTAAGGGAGTGGCCACTGCTGCCTAGAGATAAGCCAGTCACGCACCCCATTTCTCTCTCTCATGGAAGAGGCTCTCTGTCCATTAAGAGGCTGCTGCTGGCTGCTGGTAGGGCCTTGGCTGTAAGCGGCACCTCTGCCAGTGGTCATGTGCCCTTAGCCTGTGTTCTGGAGGTGGCTTCTAAGGTCCCTCAAACAGTTGCTAAGAGAAGCCAACTGGCCTTAGTGCTGCTTTCCAGTCCCCTAGAAGTACCTGTTCCCTTGAAGCCAAAACGGCCTCTCAGAGGAAACAAGGTGACCAGGTAGACTGAGTTACCTGCAGAGGGGAGTTGTGCTTCAAGAGAGGAACGTGCACTTCTAGGGGACTGGAGAGCTGATTGGAAAGGAGGTGTTGGAGGCTCAAGGTACCCCATCCCTGTCTCCTCTTGGCTGTTGCCCAAGGTGGTACTTACGATGCTGGGATTCCTTTAAGTAGTTGACAGTGTAAGAAATCATAGATTTTTTTTTTTCAAAGAAAATGATTTTACATACGCCTGTAATCCCAGCACTTGGGAGGCTGAGGCAGGAGGATCGTTGCGAGTTTGAGGCCAGCCTGGGCTACAAAGTGAGCTCAAGGCCAGCCTGAACTGCATAGCAAGACCCTGTCTCAAAAAAAGAAAAAAAAAAAGAAAATGATTTTTATTGGTACATTTTAGGTATACATAATGATTACATTTTAGGTGTACATAATGATCACATTCATCATAGGTAATTTGTACCTGTACTTATATAACTTGTGGAAGTCATAGATATTTTATGTTGTTTTTCTGACTATAAAAATAATGTATGATTAGCCAGGTATGATGGCACATGCCTGTAATCCCAGCACTCCGGAGGCTGAGGCAGGAAGATTGCTGTGAGGTTTCCAGCATGAACTGCTACTGAGGCCAGTTCAGTATATGTACTGCCGCAACAAGCTCATGAGGCCCTGTTCCAAAGCAAATGATAATGCATAGTTGTTTTCAAAAGTGCAGAAATCGAACATAGAAAGTTAAAGTCCCTCATAATCTCGTGTCCCACAGGCAACCATTGGGAGTGCTTTGGTTATTCGTTTCTTTTTTTGAGACAGGGTCCCTCTATGTAGTAGTCCAGGCTGCCCTTGAACTCGCAGCCATCCTCCTGCTTCAGCCTTGAATACTTGCTGTGCATTGAAATGTTTACAGCATTGGGACCGTATACATACTGTTGTGAGTCCTGCTTTTTCCGCTTTTGTGTCCCTTAGGTCTTTTTACAGCAGTCTCATTCTCTTCAGAGATTGTATAGCATTCTTTTTTTTTGCAGGGGGTTTGGTACCGGCAACCGAACTCATGACCTTGCACTTGCCAGGCAGGCGCTGTGCCACTGAGCTAAATTCCCAGCCCCTGCACAGCATTCTTTCATGTGGTCACACCATAGTCTGATTCCACCATAGGTACCCTCGAAATATTGCATATGGATGCAGTGCTTCTATGGGACAAATTCATAGGGTGGAATTGTTGAACCTGAGGGTTTCCTAATGCAAGGACGTCAGAAAGGCCAGGCAGATTGTGTAGTGCATGATAACCTTGAAAACTAAGACCCTGTCCCAAACCGGAAATTCTGAGCTAAACACCTATCCATTATTTCGGTTTTTTTTCCCCCTAGTGTTGGGGATTGAGCCCAGGATCTTTGCACTGAGCTGCTTCTCAGCCCTTTTTTAGTTTTTGTTTTGAGACAGTGTCTTGCCGAGTTGCTCAGACTGGGCTCAAACTTAAATCCTCCTGCCTCAGCCTCCTAGAGTGCCAGCAGTATAGGTGCATGCCACTGTGCCTTGCTTTTCTTTTCTTCCAACAGTGCCATGCTCCCCGCCCCAGACAGTGGCATCTTGCCTCTTTTTCCATGGGGGTCTTATCAAGAGCCTTTTTCAGGCACACCTTTAGGTACTGACATAAAAGCTGTTCTAGTTAGTGGGGCCAAGCAGTAGGTACACTGGTTCCCATTCTGCATTTCCTGGGACATGTGCTAAACTGAGGCACTGCATGTATGATAGTGGCTATTCAGGAGCAGAGGCAGTGTCTGTAGTCACCATGTGCCCAGAGCTATGGCAGTCCTGGGGAGATAGTGCAGATGGCTTCTGTGTTCATGGAGTTTGGGGATGATGGCTAAGAAACATGCTTAAGGTGATTTCCAAGGCAGGATGTATTCCAAAGCTGTTAATGTGAGTAACATGACTGGTGGTGGCTTTCGGTCAGATGGCCACATACTTCTCTAGACTGTTAGGGGTGATTGTGTTCTGACAGTCTTTCCCTTTCTATGTTTCTGGTAGGGTGAACTTTGAATGAGCCTGAATTCTTTTTCTTTTTTAATTTATTTTTTTTTTGTTTATTTTATTTTAAAGAGAGTAGTACATGAGACACAAACAAACAAAAAAATAGAACAGTAGCAGCATACCAGTATCACGAACATAAATCAAAGCAAGAACATTCAAAGTGATACAGGGTCTCAAGACAAATTAATACAAATCAACAGTGGTTGTTACATTGCATATTGCTATCCTCAACTACACTGCTCAGATTATCAGATGTAAGAATGAAAGATTGCCCAAACCATTAAAGAGAATAAGAAAATAATTCTTCCATAAAACATTAGAGATAATACAGAGTTTCACTAGACAAGATGGTAGGAGTTCACCATTGTAATTCCGTTGCATATTGTTGCCTTCAAATCAGTTGCTCAGACCACCAGACACAAGCATGCAGTCAGTCAGAACATAAAAAATTGTGAGCATTAACTGTTCATTTCAATACACCATCAGACAACAGCAATACAGTCATTGCAGCTATTCATATATATATTTATGTTTTGCCTGCCTTCTTTCTTTTTTGTTCTTTCCCTCATCCCAGTCGTTCGTTCCTTTGAGCAATTTTTTTCCCTTTCCTATCATCTATTGTACGTTTTGAGTTTTACCTAGTCTTTCAGGTTCCTACACCAAGGAGGCAATATGATGTATACACATCTGGGTCAGATTTATTTCACTTGTGAGTATGGTCTCTAGTTCCATCCATTTACCTACAAAAGCCTCGAGTTTATCTTTTTTAACAGCTGAGTAATACTCCATTGTATAAAAATACCACAACTTTTTTGTCCATTCCTCAGTGGATGGGCATCTGGGTTGTTTCCAAGATTTATGTATAACAAATTGTGCTGCTGTAAACATGGGTGCATATATATTGCTGTGGTATGATGTCTTTAATTCTTCTGGGAAAATACCCAGACAGGGAATAGCTGGGTAAAATGGGACTTCTAATCCTAGTTTTGTGAGGAATCTCCACACTGATTTCCACAGTGGTTTCACCAATCTACACTCCACCAGCAGTGGAGTAGGGTTCTTTTCTCCCCAGAGGCTCTCCAGCATTTGTTATTGGTTGATTTCTTGATGATAGCCATTCTTTCTGGGGTGAGATGGAATCTCAGTGTTGTTTTAATTTGCATTTCTTGAATGACTA